ATGGCTAGTTATAATCTTAAAAGGCATGTCTGTTACAATTTTCTGCACACTTTGTTTGAGAATTAATTGTGCGGAGATTGTATCACTAGCGTTGTTGCTTAATGAATTAGTTTCACTAAAATGATTTGAGAAAACATTTGCTACATCCTGTTTCTTACTTACGATGTTATTGTTTACCTTTAGTAGTATATTCTCTTGTTTTTTACGAAACGAATTTTTCCTACTTCCATTTACAATATTCCAGATTTCTTTATTAGAATTTAACGCCGACTCAATTTTTCTTTGTATAGCTATTTGTTTTGCTTTTCTCAATATTCTTCTATATATCTGTATATATGACCTTTTATATTTATCTGCAAACACTCCATTACATATTTTAACATTTAATGTCAGAAATTCAAATCATCTTACTTGATTTACTGATATTACCTTTAGTGATGATGTTAAATGTGTCATCTTTATTGATATACAGAGAGGTGTAAGACAGGGTGACGTTATATCCCCGAAACTCTTCACCGCTGCTTTGGAAGACGTTTTCAAGCTACTGGACTGGAAAGGATACGGTATTAACATCAATGGCGAGTACATCACTCACCTTCGATTTGCCGACGATATAGTCCTTATGGCAGAATCGCTGGAGGACCTTAGCACTATGCTCAATGACCTCAATGGTGTCTCCCAACGGATAGGTCTTAAGATGAACATGGACAAAACAAAGATTATGTTCAATGTCCATGTCACACCTATGCCGGTAATTGTGGGGAGCACTATGCTCGTAGTTGTTGACGAGTACGTTTACCTGGGACAAATAGTCCGACTAGGTAAGTCCAACTTCGACCGAGAGGTCAATCGACGGATTCAACTCGGCTGGGCAGCGTTCGGGAAATTACGACACATCTTCTCGTCAGGTATACCTCAATCTCTGAAAACTAAAGTGTACAACCAGTGCGTGTTGCCAGTGATGACTTACGGATCAGAGACGTGGTCCTTCACTGCTGGCTGTATGAGGACGCTCAAGGTCGCTCAGCGAGCTATGGAGAGGGCTATGCTCGGAGTTTCTCTGCGTGATAGACTCAGAAATGAGGATATCCGCAGTAGAACCAGAGTGACCGACATAGCCCAACGGATTAGTAAGCTGAAGTGGCAATGGGCCGGCCATATAGCTCGAAGAACCGACAACCGATGGGGAAGAAAGGTTCTCGAGTGGCAGCCTCGTACCGGTAGGCGTAGTGTAGGGCGACCCCCCACTAGATGGAGTGACGACCTGGTAAGATATGCAGGAAGTCGATGGATGCAGGTGGCTCAGGACCGTGCTTTGTGGCATTACTTGGGGGAGGCCTATGTTCAGCAGTGGACTTGTGAAGGGCTGTAATGATGATGATGATGATCTACTGTAATGTATTTTTTTAGGATGTATTTTTCTCGTTCTTTTCTTATAACAAGTTTTGAAAGTGTAACTTAATTTATTGAGAAAAGAATTTATTCCTAAATTGTGTCAATTTATTTTGCTAATTTGCTTTCTAAATTCTGCTGAGTTGTGGTCACTTAAAACTCTACGACTAATTTTTATACTTTCATTTATGTTACGACTCATTTTATTTTCCAATTCTACTGTACAAAATAAACCAGCGTGACCGTCTGCGAAACCATTATGCTCAACTCTACTGTCAATATTTGTTGTATCTATATTAGTAATTAGAAGAATACTTGTCAAGACAAGATGTTACATCATTGCGCAAAAAGGTTGCTGAGTCAATTAAATATTTGAAATTATAACAAGTCAACAAGTTCAAAAATTCATTTTTTTGTTTATCATTGTTCAATAAATTAATGTTGAAGTCATCGCACAATATAAATTTCTTATTAAAAAAATGTTCGGAAAATCGCTCTAATCTTTCCATAAAAAAATCAAAATTTTTCTGTATAGGATTTCGATAGCAACAACAAACATAAATATGTGAGTTTATGTCTTTAACACCACAAATTTCAAAATGTTCAGATTTATATAGTTTTTTGCAGAAGGCATCTTCCTCACATTTAACATCATTTAAACCCAATATCATTGAACCACCTCGTATTTTGTTTGTTCGGAAATTGTAAGCTACTAATTTATAACCTTCTAATTTAAATATAAGAGCTGAAACCTCATTTAAGAAATGTTCACAAAAACAAACGTATTGTAACTCAGATTTTACAGAATTGATATACAGTTCTATCTCATATTTTTTATTTGTTACACCACAGACGTTTTGATAGAAAATATTCATTGTTTTTTTTTTGGGCAGCTGACTTAATGTATTATTATTGACGAAAAAGCGAAATGCAACTCTGAGGCGGAATATCCTCAGTTTGAGTGCCTGCGGTGCACTTCATATTATTAGCTGTTTGAGTTACAATGCAAGGAACATTTGCCCTCATAGTATTATTATTATTATTATTCGAGCTGCGTAGTTTGGTTATAAAGTTAATATAGTTTATTTTATACGTCACTCTCAATATTTCACGAAGAATTAGTTTTGCAACAGTATTTAATTTTTTATACCCACGACCATCATTATGAGCATTATTATACATCAAGGGCACAAAAGACGCATGACTGAAGCTTTTACAAATCCACTGAACTAGGTTATTTAGCTGTGTTTCATTAAAATAATATTTTTTTTGAATTTCACTTACAACAACATTTGTACATTTAATTTGGTGTAACGTATAATACAAAAATGATTGAAATTCCTTTAGATCATTATCATTTGAACCACCAAGTATAATTACATAATCCTCTTTAGTAAAGTCCATGCAGAGAGTATTACATGAATTTAATAATTCATTCAGTTTTGCATTCGGCTTTAAAAAACATGTAACATGATAATCATTCCCTAGTAAACTTTGTAATTTGCTTCTCAAACCGCGACCTGCTTGATCTGACAATATCATGACTCGATGTTTGTTGTTTTGTTGAGTGTGTGAAGTTCGAGTTTCGTTGAGCGAACTTGCTCTAGCGCCAAGTGACCTCACGCAAGGTGTATCATTTATACCCGAAGCAGTGTTCTTAATCGTGTGCTGTTTTGTGTATTTGATATAGATGCCATCCCTTCAATGGGTTTGTAACAGCTTTGAAGGTTATCGAAACTTTTCGAGAAAGTACTATTAAGCTGCAACTTAATAGGTTTTGCGGATTTAATCAACTGTGGAGAAACTAAACCTCCTAAAGATTTATATACTGAGTTTATTTTTCTATATTGTGGTGAGTAAAATCTTTTTGCTAAACCAGTTGAATTTCTTCTTAGGCCTTCTATCCCAATAGTTTTGTAGAATTGTAATTTATTTTCATAGTTCTGCAACTTTTTTTTAACGAATTATTTTCAAGATTTAAGTTATCAATCTCATTGTTTGCCGTTATTAACTCCTGAGTCAATTTTTCTATAGTAGATTTTAAATGTTCAACTTCCGTAGAATCTAATGTACCAATATAGGGCAGGCTTTAATATGTGTTATCGAGGAAGGATTCGTCACTCATTTGATTGTATAATCTGGTTTTATTTCTTTGTGTTATGTTGTCATAGTCTTCCTCCATTTTTGTGTAGAATTATTTGTTTTTTTATTTGCGCCCTCTAGTGTCAAAACGTCGTGAGACCGTCGTATAAGTATTATTTATGTCAATTTAGTCATGGAGTCGTTTGTTAAATAACAGATGGCGTTCTAATTGTATATATATTGTATTTGTAATAAACTTATTAGGCTCGTCTTACATATTATTTCACAAAGCTAAACCAAATATTTGCGATGATGAGGATCGAACTTACGTTACTCGTGGTGTCTGTCTGCGCGACACCAGCTATTGTCCAAATGCGCCAGCGCGGTTATTAGTTACTGGTTGAATTTTTCGATATTAATGCTTTGCTTTTTATTAATATGACAATGAGCGCGAGTTTTCTGTTATGAATGGTCAAATTCAAACTGCAGTCATTTCACAAACACCCACTTTTAGGTTTTTTTATAGTTAATGTTATTTATGAATTTTAAACAATGAGGATTATATTTATTTCGTTTAATTTGTTTCTATCTAAGTTTTTGGCACCTTTTTTTGTGTATTCACACTTCACTTAACCATAAAAATCCTACATAATTATAGCAAGCAACTGTTATACTGTCACTGGTCAACAAATTTTTATTTTACACTTTTAACTATGTTTATACTTTGTTATAGTTTTGGATAACATTCACTGAGCTTATTTATGATGTAATTTTATTGTTTACACTAAAATTATTATTTACACACTGTATAGTATTTAAACGTAAATATATTCATACGGAGCGTTTGTTTACTCAACGGCGCCCTCTGCTGAACTGAAATAAATTTTTTTTTGAACTGAACTGAAATTAATTAAATTAAAACTCTGCTGAACAGTAATTCATTCTTGGGGCGATGTATACGCTTTTACAACAAAATCCCAGAAAATATATAAAATTTGTCATACACAAAGTTCAAAAATGTTATTTAACTAAGTTTGTATAAAAAGGGTTATTATAATATTAAGAAATTTATGGATGATAATAATCCCTGGGAAGGGTGATCGCTACCAAGCTATTTCTAATTTGTCTTGTGTTGTTTATTGTAAACATTATTGTAAGCTACTATTGGAAAAAAAAATTGTCCCGCTGGGTTTCTTGCTGGTTCTTCCCAGGACAGAGGTTTTTTATTTGCAAACCAGTGGTAAATTAAAAAAAGGGACTTTCAATAAGTATTGTTATAATCTGCATTGAATAACCTTCCAATAATCGATTATGGGTTCATTGATATCGTTGTTGTGATGTTTGACATGTGGCATCATCGATGATTTAAATTTTAACATCGATAATCATCGAACATCGATGATCATCAAACATGCTACCCTTACGCTGCCACCACGGGGAAAGTTTTAGTTATGTAGGTTTTTTTAAATGCGGCTATAAATTTAATGAATGTGGTATCAAATTTTTGCAAGTTTGTCATTTCGCAGGTCTCATGCAGCACTCGCCACAACATCCGGCTGCTTGCGGACATCATCTACTCCGTTGCGTTCAGTGTGAAGCCTCCAGGTAAGGCTGGTGATGGTAGTGATGATGATGATGTTTGGTAATTCGTCCTGTAAAAGAAAAGCTTGATATAAATTTCTTTCCTATTTTATTTCATATATAAGTGTTAATGAGTTGGTGGTCAGCTGTTTTGGTCTGTTTTCTGTTAAGTAAATTTGTAGTCAACAAACAGTGGAGAATGAATTTTACGTGATAGAGCCATGCTTCAGGCATTTTATAGTTTTAGAACGAATGGGTCGGCACGACCGGGGCAGGATCACGCTCTCACAGAATACCAGCGTAAAATGGCAGCGTGATGCTGCTGTGTTTCGTATGGTGAGTCTAGAGAACCGGAGACCCTTTTTACTGGAAACGAGACATTACATCTCATTCTTCATGGGTGACAACGCATTTGTATACCGATACTTAATCGACGATAAATGTTGACGTCTATGGGCCAGAACATCCACTTACCATCAAGGTAACTGTGTGCTCATTTGTCAACTTTATAAAAAAAAGAACCATGTGAAATACAAGACGGTCCGGCAACAGAGAGCAACATCAAAAGTCTGGTTATCTGATACTGTGGTTGCCAATCATATCCAATTCCAAAAGCAAGCTGATCCATGAAGATTTCCACATCGTAAAAAATAAAACGACCTGGTAAAGCATGCATGAAGTCGATGGATGCTGGCGTCTTAGGTCTTACTTACTTACTTACTTACTTATCTTCACGCACAATTCCCTAACGGGGTAGCTAGAGAGAACAGATCGCCAAGTGTCACGATCCTTACATACCTCTTTCGCTTCCTTCAGGTTCATTAACTTCTTCATACATGCACGTCTAGGTATCCGAGTACTCTTGACCCTCCCCTCTTTGAGCAATTTGCTCACATAGTCTTCAAAAGTTAGTCTCGGTCTACCTCGACACCTTTTAATATTTACTTTTGCTCTATATATTTTCTTCACCATTCGGTCTTCACTCATTCGTTCAACGTGCCCAAACCATTGGAGTACGCCCCTATCAATTTTTGTGATAAGGTCATCTTTCAATCCTGCCATATTGCGAATCTCTTTGTTTCGCTTTCGGTCGGCTAAGGTAACGCCACACATTTTACGAAGAGATCGCATCTCCACTGCATTCAACTTGCTTTTATGCTTCTTCTGGCATACCCAGGTTTCGCTGCCATATAACAAAGTCGGTACCAACACTGCATTATGTATTGCAAGGCGTGCACTCTTCACCACGCCTTGCCCTTTTACTAATGCATTCAGGGCACCATTGACTTTGTTTCCGGCAGCGACACGCCTATCAACATCTAAATCACATCTTCCATCCCGGCTGAAAGCACTCCCCAAGTATACAATTTCATTTACCTGTTCTAGACATTCCTGATTTACCCATATTTCACATTTCGTTCTCTCTTCGTCCTTTTCAAATACCAGAACCTTAGTTTTATTAGCATTCAAACGGAGACCTTTAATTTCACATTCCTCTTTCATACACGTGACTAATGCCTGCAGTTCTGCTTCTGATGGTGCAATAAGCACTGCATCATCAGCATACAGCAGACAATTAACTTTAATGTCACCCAATTTCACACCCAAACAGCTATTTTTCAGCTTCTGTAAACAGCTGTCGAGATACAGTATGAACAGCCAGGAAGACATGACACAACCCTGTTTTACGCCCGCTTGGACGCTAAACATGGGTGACAGGTCATGCCCTACCCGCACACAGGCTTTACAGTCATAGTAAAGTGAAGGTCTTAGGACTTAGAAAAAAATTCCTTCTTAGATCCATTGCCACATTAATACTGCCTTCTGAAGGAATATCCTCAAGGTTATTTTCTTTCTATCTTCGGTCCCCAGGAAGCAAGGAGCCACTGCTTCAGCAACGGGTCCCGGCAACATACTTGGCTTTAGAAGAATGTGTAGCTTCATTGGCGGCCGAGCTACGCGAACCAGTTCTGAGGCACGAGGAGTACCGAAGACTTGTGAGTAATCTTTTTTTGGAATTTGTTTAAAAAGGAGGATCAAAGGAGGATTCGAATGTATGTTATTCTTTCAAGCAACTTTAAAAAAAAAGGAGGAGGTTCTTAATTTGACTGTATTTTTTTTGTGTTAGAACTTTTTTCTAGGTGAACCGATTTTGATAATTATTTTTTTATTTGAAAGCTGGTGATTTTCATGTCCCGTATAAATTTTGTTTAAGTTTTGATAAAATTGATTAAGTTTGCTAAGTCGACTTAGCGGTCAGCCGCCGTAGAGTCAACATCACCTGAAGATGCCTCGTGTAGAAATAAAACACGTGTCGTATTATCGTCGATGGTGTGTCTTGACTGGAGTAGTGGTGTTGGGAGACGTGGTGCTGGGATTAGTGGTGATAGAATTAGTGCACGCAATTGAGGGAGGGCGTGAGGTGCTCTTCAATCCAGATAAGACACATCATTGTATTTAATTTAGCGGATGGTTGCAAATTAACTATTAATATCCTTATTATAATGGATTTCCGCAAAGTAACGCCTGATTCTATCAATTATTTGACTACATTGTCTAATTAAATGCGTCGTCAGAATACATGGATGATGTTCTCATTTTATTTATAATGAATTCGCTTTTACAAAAATTTTAATTTACTTTTTTTTGCTTGCTTTTTGTAAAATTGAAGTGTCAAGCAAACTAACAGATCATCTGAATAAGTGGCTACCTGCCGCTGGCCATGGACACATGCAGCCAACGTATTTCACTAGTCTACAACACTAGTCTTCTTTGTTTACAAAGAAGACAGCGGATCTACTGGCAATGGTTTATGATGAGAGAAACCTTATAATAAAGGTCATAATGTGTGTGTTCTTATGGTAATACGTACACTTGACATTGAATAAAATAAAACAAATAAAACAAGTCAAATAAAACGCAATAAAATCCGTAAAATTAGTTTATTCATTAATTCATTCATTCACATCAACTTGCTACAATCGCACTATCTAAACAATTACTCCTAGAACTCTTTAACTATATTATTTCTTATTGTTTCTTTACGTGGTAGAGCCATGCTGCAGTTATATTAGTAGTATAGTTGTAGCACGAATGGGTCGGCTCGACCGGGGAAGGACCACGCTCTCACAGAATACCAGCGTCAAATAGTAGCTTAATACTGCTGTGTTTCGTATGGTGAGTGTAGAGAACCAGAGACCCTTTTTACTGGAAACGAGGCATTCCATCTTAGTCCTCACGGGTGACAACGCATCTGCATTTTGATTCGTAATCGAGGATAGATGTAGATGTCTATTGACCACAGCAACCACTTACCATCAGGTGGACTGTGTGCTCGTTTGTCACCCTATCCTATAAAAAATATTCTCACTACTTTTAAAATGTTAAGGTAACGCAGTATATGCAGCAGAAGAACCTAAGAACTTTTCGCGACGCGGCCGAGTTGCATCAGGCCACCATGTTTCTGCACGAAAACGGTGAGTTTTATATTATCAAGTCAAACAAACACACACACAGTCACACAGTGAGATTAGAGACAAAAATACCGTCAAAAAACTTTGGGCTCTTCCGTATTTTTCTAACGAAATGAATCATTTAATTTTCAACTTAGATTTATTATTTAATTATTACATTCACTTATTATGCCAAACAAGCACACAGTCCACCTGATGGTAAGTGGATGCTTTGGCCCATAGACATCTACATTTATCCTCGATTAAGAGTCAAAATGCAAATGCGTTGTCACCCATGAGAACTAAAATGAAATGCCTCGTTTCCAGTAAACCGGATCTCCGGTTCTATACACCACAGGAAATAAGCAGTGATCTGCTATTTTACACTAGTATTTCATGAGAGCTTGGTCTTTCGAGCCGACCCATTCGTGCTGCAACCATAATACATCTGCAGTATGACTCCACCTCATATATTTACGTGTTTTATTTGTCTGTCTTTGTACGCAGGCGTGATTCTGCACTACGACGACGCTACGCTGAAGGAGTTGTACTTCGTACGTCCGCAGTGGCTGTGCGACGTCCTCGCTCACGTTGTCACCGTGCGCGAAGTAAACCCGTTCGCTAACAATGGTAAGTTGTCCCATCAATAGAATAGAATTGAATTTTTTATTCAATACTTGCGACTGATTACCGTATAGTGGAGATGTAAGGATATCCACTACCGCGTATCATCCTGTGGGTGTCGTAAGAGTTGCCTCAGATACACGGAAACAAATCAGGAGATGGGCAGCTGTGTCTTCCTAATGAAAACAAAAAATAAAATAAACTGCGGTTGCCAACCCGCTTGCCAAGTATGGCAGCTATGGCAGTTATCTGCCCTATGAGGCAATCATCTCCTCTATAAGGCAGTCTATGGAGGAGGACGTAGTGGACTTAAATATGGCTGTAACGGTAACGGTTACGAGAGATTCGCCGTGGCTTCGCTCGGGTGATTTCTGGATCTCGACAACAGCGCCACCTGCCGGCAGCAATTGTAAATCTAAACCATCTCACCTAAACAAGTGATGATCTTTCATACACGCGGCAAATGATTTTTATTTATATAGATAGGTTACAAGAATTTAAAAAGTAAAAGTAAAGTTACAGCCTATATATATGTCCCACTGCTGGGCACCGGCCTCCTCTTATTTCTGAGAGGGTGTTAGGGCAAGGAAGTGTCCGCCGCACCGCCCCAATGCGTGTTGGCGAACTTCACATGTCTTCGAAATAATTTTTTATCTTATTCCTCAGACATGCAGGTTTCCTCACGATGTTTTTCCTTCACCGCCGAGCACATGGTAAATTAGCACTTTAAATTGCAATTAACAATTTCATTGGTGCCGGCGGGGCACGAACCCGGGTTACTCGCATTCTGTTATATTTACAGCGAGCGTTAACCATTTGAGCTACCACGGCTCTCTACAAGAATATTTACTCGCCTGAAATGACTTGCAATTCAAGCTTTTTTTATAGGATAAGGGTGACAAACGAGCACACAGTCCACCTGATGGTAAGTGGATGCTGTGGCCCATAGGCATTCACATTTAACCTCGATTAAGAATCAAAATGTAGATGCGTTGTCCCCCTGAGGACTAAGATGGACTGCCTCGATTCCAGTAAAACGGGTCTCCGGTTCTCTACACTCACCATACGAAACACAACAGCATCAAGCAATGTATTATTTACTATTTCAGTCTGGTATTCTGTGAGAGACAACTATAATAACTGCAGTTTGGCTCTACCACATATAAAATATATACGCTTCGGAGAAAACCTCTGTCCTGGGAAGAATCAGCAAGAAACCCAGCAATCCTTTTACCCAGTTAATATCTTCTTTAATGGGTGGTACTTATATATTACTTTCGGAAACATGTACAATGTATTTCTCTACTTAATTTGTTTTGTGCCGTGTATTGTACTTAATTATCTATGATATTGATAGGTTTAAGCGGATGGCATCTTTGAATTCCTTGGTATATTTGAACTAGCACAACAAATGTTGCAGTGTCATTTGTTAATTTAAGGGAAACCTGTTATTGGCATTACTACATTACACATAGTTATGAGATATAATATATAATTTGTAAACCTGTTAAAAAAAAATACAGTATAATATTTTTATGCAATTAAGCAAAGAAAATATTTTGTATTATTATGTAAGTAAATTTTTATTATATTAAGAATATTTATATATTTATTACAGCCCATTAAAGTCCACTGCTGAAGGAAGGCCTCCTTTTAATTTATCTCATAAGCTATATTTGTAATAGTTGCCATGTTTGACAAGCAAGTGAGCAACCGCAGTTTATTGTTATGTTATGTTATGGATTGTTTTCCTACGTCGCCTCGTAAGACACCTACTGTTAGATTTAGGACTGTGGATATTTTGCCTGTGTTCCGAAATAGAACCCAGTATACTGGCCAATGCAAATGACGCCACAAATCGACGCCATACTGGTGATTCGTTTCAAAACATTGGCTAGTATATGACACCATACATGCTCTTGACCACTCTTCCTTGTAACAAAGATTGAAAATGAAAAGAATAGTATGATTTCTCATTCTCTTCAACGTACAAATTTAACTGTTTACCTATGCCATTTTTTATATTTGAATAAATAAAAACGAATTTTGGCCATACTTTATTCAGCGTACACATAATTAAATTTTTTTTAATATAACGGGATATCCGACACAATATGGCGGCGGCACGCCAGTACAATATGGCGTCAATTAATGACGTCATTTGCATTCGCCAGTGTACTGGGTTCTATTTCGGAACACAGTCTTAGACACCGTCACTACATAGTAGGCAATATGCATAAGCGACCCATTTGACAAGACTATAAGGAATATAATCGTTTGAAAGTCGTGATAGATACATTAACATTTTTGTCCCCTTATAATTCTAATTTTGCAGATGCGTTGTCACCTCTGAGGACTAAGATGGAATGTTTCGATTCCACTAAAACGGTTCTCCGGTTCTTTACACTCACCATACGAAACACAGCGTGGTCCTTCCCCGGTAGAGCCGACCCATTCGTGCTACAACTATACTACTAATATAACTGCAGCATGGTTTTACTTTTGGTATAAAAATTTGTATTTATATTGTTACGAGCTTGAGGTTCGTGACAATAAAAATTGCCGATAAAATTACCTAAATTAACACTTTAATTTTCTTTACACAAATTAAAACTTAAAGCACCAATAATTAATCACACTGATTCACTTTATTCCGCTCCGAAGCTTCGCTTGTCTCGCCGAATTGAATACTTCCCCGATCGCGTATTGCAGCGCCTTTATATAGGGCTCTTCCACGAAAACATCCAGAATATTCCAGAATATTCGAGTAAATACGCGCGCCAACCGACCAAGCGCAGAAAGTTCGAGTTTGGGGCTTCCAGAAAGCTTAGTTCTTCAATTCGATACCAGATTGCGCTGTCGGTTGAAAGATTAGTGATGTCATTTTCTGGAAAGCTCTCTCTTCGCTCTGTTACCCGACACTAGATGGCGCTAGTGCCAGATGTCAACTTAGCCGCGCAACAATATAATACACTAGACACTGATATAATTTTATTTAAAACGCAACTTATCAATTAAATGACGTTGGGTACCAAAAAAACTACCTTATTAATTTTGTAGTATCCGTTTGGTAGTATAGGTAGAGGTGTTTGAGTAAAGTAACTTTTTAAGGTGATCCCCCACCCTCTCGGTGTAGGTATAATGAAGGTGGAGGACCTGGCGCACGTGTTCAAGGCGTCGCCGCTGCTGGCGGCGAGCGAGGAGGCGCGCTCGCTGGGCGTGTCGCTGCTGAACAAGTTCGAGCTGGCGCTGTGCTGGGACGCGCGCGTGCTGCTGGTACCGCCGCTGCTGCCGCACCGCGAGCCGCAGCTCCCACAGGTGGGCACGGGGAATCTCCCCTCCTGTTTATTACTAGGTGCTCTTGCAAATTAAAGCCAATATTTGTGCAAAAATACGTTAAATCTTTTTCAGAAATAGGTATATCGGTGGTACCCCTTAAAAGTCCGAAGTCTCCATTTGGATCCTTAAATGTCTCCTTGTAGACCGCGCCAAAGAGTATACTAATATTTAGAGGGACGCCTTAGAACCAAAGAGTATATGATCACTAAGTTTACTCGAAACCATAGATAAGAGTGCTCAGGACGATTCTTTTTTAAATGTTATTTATAAAAAATTCTTAAATAAAAATAATTATAGTACCCACACAGTCAGGGTCCCAGACTAAGAAGAAGTGCGACTACCAAGTTTTTGTACACTGTGACTTTTATTTTTTTATTTTAGAATTTTTTAAGGTTTTTCTTTTTTCATAGCTGGCGTTGAGATCGCGTCCATGGCCTGGGACTCCGCGTCACGCCCGCAGCGCAGCACTGGCGCCTTTACCTTCAGATTCGCCCACACTTATACGTGAGTCTCTTTTTTGTCACATGTGAGGGTGGACACTGACTTTTAAATGCTTTCATTTATTGTGTATTTTCACATACAACATAACACAAAAACATATTTATTTGTATTACATTGATAATAATTTAGTACCTGGTTTGCTAGCTTTGCTCGGTATTTTTTTAAATCGTGTGTTTTGGAAATTATATCTAGATTACAAATTACATACTGATGAAATATGAATAGAAGGTATTTTTTAATGTTATTGACATGATAAAACTGAACTGGTTATTTGAATAAAAAATCATGAGTGCAATTAGTTTAATTTAAATTTTCGTGTTTTTTATTTTAAAATACTTAAAAAAGGGCTCGAAATAATAGATTTTCTCAAAAAAAAAGGGAACTTGAAAAAAAATTAGAAAAAAAGCCGGTTTGGAAACAGGGTACTACGATTTCGTGACCGCCCTATATCCCATTTGAACTATCATAATCATTAACGCGCTGTCAAAATTTACCTTCTTATTCTAACGATATTGTAGCAGTTTTTCATTCCCTGAAAACATGGATAAATTTATTGCCCCCGAAACCCCCTGGACTCTAAATTTTATTAAAATCATTGGAGCCGTTTCCGAGATTCCGATTATATATATATACATACACAAGAATTGCTCGTTTAAAGGTATAGGATAACGTAAAGTCATTACTAAGAAATATATCTTGGGAAAGAAATTGATAAACGAGGCAAACGGTAATATTATAAAACCGCCTGTGTGAAAATACGGGTGAAAGAACATATCACTAATGTAAAGCACCTACACTCCGGGAAGTCTGCAGTGTGTCAACCATTATATCAGAATTGATAGACCCCAAATTCTCGCAAAACAAAACCGATTCCTGAATCGCGAGGCTGTTGAAATAAAAAACATCTTAATTTTAATAGAGAAGATGACTCGGTGCTACCATCTGCTTGGGATAGTGATGTAGTCGCGCGTTTCCAGAGGACAGTCCCGCGGCACAAGTGTCGGGACGTCGCGGTGGCGCCACGCTGCGGCGGCTGCTGCTGCTGTCGTACGTGCCGTGCGGCTTCTGGGCGAGTCTCTGGGCGCGCGTGCTGGCGGATGCTGCGCTTGCGGCCGCAGCGCCGAGGCTCTACCGCCCGCCGCCAGAGGTGAGCGTGATATATCGACGTATACAATATGTAACATAATTAACGCACACCCTCAGACACCCCAATTAGTATATTATGTTATAATCATAATACATACACTGAATTTTTGGTTAAACATTTTTATGCATTGATTATTTATCAAATTAGTTATACTAATTCCGGAAGAATGTTGTGGTCACAGTACAAATCCACTAACGCAAAGACTTTAACGTGCTTGAAATAAAGTTCATTTTTCTTTACTTTTATTAAATGACAGAATTAGTAATAATACAAATAAAACTGCACTCTTAAAAGTCTTATTGCCTTAAGTTACGGTCCATTTCATTTTGTCATTTTTGGGATAAAAAATTACCTATATTAAAAATGATAGGAATCGATTCAGTAAACGATTCTGAACAAACTACTTTCTCAAAGTGCGTTAATTATGTTACATGTTGTATATACTACACTACTCCACAAGACACTAGGTAGGTGTTTACGTGGTAGTGCCATGCTGCAGCTATATTGTGGTTGCAACACGAATGGGTCGAGTCGACCGCGGTAGGACCACGTTCTCATAGAAGACCAGCGTCAAATAGCAGCTTAATGCTGCTGTGTTTAGTATGGTGAGTGTAGAGAACTGGAGACTCTTTTTTCTGGAAACGAGGCTTCTATCTCAGTCTTCAGAGGTGACAGCGTATCTGCATTTTGATTTTAATTGAAGATAAATGTAGATGTCTATGGGCTACCGCATCCACTTACCATCAGGTGGACTGTGTGCTCGTATGTCACCCTTATTATATAAAAAAATAAGGCAACCAAAGTAAAACTAAACAATAAGAGAGAACAAAACGATGTCCCGTTCCAAGTACTGCAAAAAATACCACGAAACATGATTCTCAGTGTTTCCTTCCAGCATTAATTACTACATCCGATACTCTATCTGGATGGGGCGGCCACCATACACTTTGCTTACCTATGCAAGGCCACTACCCAAGAACCTTGCTTCTCCGTCAGTTGTCGGTTTTTCGAACTATATATAGCCAGCCCGTTTATCACTTCAGCCAACTAATCCGTAAACATATATCGTATACATTGGTTCTACTGCGACTATCCTTATTACGACGCAGGAAATCTCCGAGTACATTCCTCTCCACAGCTAACAACATTTTGTTTGATTTACTGTAATAATGTATGGTTATTTTTTAAAGAGTATATATACTTGTACAAATATGATATTTATTCTAGTATATAAATAATGACATACCCGTATTGTCATTTTTGGAAAATACGAGTAAATGAGGCTTTGACTTTTATTTGAAATTACACCAAATTGAATATGCTCCTCTGTGTGCGATTCAATTCACAACGTTTTTGCCCACCGAGAGATCCTTACGAATGTGTAAAAGTAAAGGTAAAGTTACAGCCTATATACGTCCCACTGCTGGGCACAGGCCTCCCCTCATTTCTGAGAGGGTTTTTAGAGCAAGGAAGTGTCCGCCGCGCTGCCCCAATGCGTGGTGGCGAATTTCACATGTCATCGAAATAATTTTTTTTATATCTCGGACGTGCAGGTTTCCTCACGATGTTTTTCTTCACCGACGAGCACGTGGTAAATCAGCACTTAAAATTGCAATTAACAAATTCATTGCTGCCGGCGGTGATCGAACCCGGGTTACTCGCGTTCTGTTATATTTACAGCGAGCGTTAACCATCTGAGCCGTGGTAGCTCTAGCTATGTATGCGTGCGTAGTAACATAGTAAGCGTTAGATATTTATGAATGACAATCAGTTAAAATAATGCATTATCAAGCATTTTGAATTTAAAAGCTAAAAAAAGTACAGAATCTTTGAAACTTTTTAAATTAATTTTTCTTTACCATTCGCCTATATTACTTATCCTGAACCTTCTCTGCAAATTTGGGTGTATATCGAGAAATTATCTTAAGTAATAATCTTATGAAAATCACAGATGGAGGTAGACGAAGTGGTCTCCAAAGCGCTGGACCTGAACTGGGGCTGGAAGCTCTGGAAGACGGGAATGAAGTTGGTGTGCGGGGACCTAACCTTGCTGGCGTTAAGAGAGCTCCCACCGAGGTTCGACCCACTGCTGGGCGCGGTGGGAGATGAGGAGGAAAACGATGAACTTTACCATAGTGTTAGGTGAGTGACTGCAATTTTATAACTAATATATTAAGTTGTTATAATTTAATACATTTTACGTCTATGTTTACATACATAAACACTCACGCCTGTCACTCAGAGGGGTAGGCAGAGACTACAGACTTCCATTTAGCACGATCCTGACATACCTCTCTCGCCTCCTTCACATCCATATACCTACGCATACATGCTTGTCGGTTAAGGGTACTCATAATTTGGACCATTTTTAGTATATCGCCAATTTGGTCGACCAACCTTCCGCCTAGGACGTCCCTTTCCGACTCTTCCATTCAATTCTGCAACATATATTTGCTTGGTGATCATTCATTCATTCTTTCTACATGACCAAACCGCTGAAGCATTCCTTTCTTAATCCTGGTCACCGCATCATCTTGCAAACCACACTCTTCTTTTATCACACAGTTTCTCACCCTGTCACTCAGATTCAGCCCTAACATACTCCTTAGCGACCGCATTTCTACTGCATTTATTCTACTCTCGTGCTTCTTCTATGTTTATAATGTTTATTGCACTTTATGCATAATTTAAAAATAATTTAAGGCTGCACATATTTACGAATGGGTTTTACCAATCATTACAGCTCACCAAAACTCCACTGTTGAAATAGGCCTGCCTGATTATTTGCTTTATATTGGACACTAGACATGTGTCAATCATTCATTTCTTGTGACCGAATCATTCTAGTACATTTCGTCACGCGTACCGGTGTATTCGGATCGATCATTCAAGTGGATAATTTCGGGCTCCGGTACGCTACACTAAAAACGATTCATTCAGATCATTCGGGTTTCGGTCGGTTTTCGACTCATTCACAATTCACATCAATCACGAGGTAAAAAGGTTCCGTCAATTGTTTGTGATCGGTTGTACCGGAACATTCGAAAAAAGATGAATGAACCATCAACACTTTTAAGTGTACCAGCTCAAACGAACGAATCATTCATGATTGACACATGTCTAGTTGGCACGCTGGGCAGCTGTTATTAGAGAGATGCTGCTGCCAATATTTTGGTTCAGTTTCCCTATGTTACCTCTTACTACACCCACGGGATGATATGGTATACTAGTGTAGTTGCGATATAAGAATATTTATGGGGATTTAGTCTGCGCGTATTCGACATATCCTGTATTTGCCCCTGCGGGGTGGGTATGCTATGCTAAGATCATCATCCTCGTCATCATAATCAGCCTGGCTCAGTCTACCGCTAGACGTAGGTCTTTCCCAGGCCACTCAGCCATATCTCCGGCACAAGGCGATCGGCGACACAGTTGTTGCCAGTCGCCTTGTGCAGATTGTCGCTCATGCTAAAATCATTGGTCTTAATTGAGATATCAGATATTCATTACCCTTAATTCAGAAGTAATTAAAGTATTCCCGGCCTTATGTCGTCTAATTATATCAAATTACACCAGTTATATCAGTTAAAGACGGATTGAATGTCGACAGAGCCCTAGGCTAGCATCTCATCGGCGCCCCTCTGTTAGCCATATATTATAAAATATAACTATTTATTTCGCAAATAAACTATATTATAATTTATAATGTTGTTTGCAAAATAATTAGGACACGTAACAAACAGATGGGCGTGAATAGAAAATGTGTTGAGAGAGTGAGGGCGATGTAGGAGTAATTATACAGAAAGTATATTTTAGCTGAACACACATTTGTCAGCATCGCACGCGCCGTACGCGCCGCATTTTAGAATTCGTTGCATGAAATCATAATATGAAACCTCGCACATTAGAGCCGCACCGTACGCACCGCATTTTATAAAATGCGGTAAGTATCCGAATATTGCGCAAAAACCGTTTACAGCAACAGAAAGCCCAAGAAAAAAAAAAAAAAATAAAAAAACCAAAAGAAAACGCCCCCCCCTGCGCCTTTTTTACAAAGGCTTGCGCCGCTTTTTTTACCATTGAAGGACGAATGCTGATGACGTCATATATGACTCAGTGTTGTCTAATGTTGCCAACTTAATGGATTTTCTACTAAAACTGGTGGTTTTGACTTTGGTTTCGAAATATATTTTTACTTCATTTCAGGAACATTTCTTATCAGCATTTTTATTTAATTTAAGTAGATAAAGTAAAGTAAAGTTACAGCCTATATACGTATCACTGCTTGGCACAGGCCTCCCCTCATTTCTGAGAGGTTTTTAAGGCAAGGAAGTGTCCGCCGCACTGCCCTAATGCGTGTTGGCGAACTTCATATGTCTTCAAAATATTTTTTTTCTCTTATTCATCAGACATGCAGGTTTCCTTTTCTTTTCATTCTTTCATTCATTCCTTTCACCGCCGAGCACGTGGTAAAATCAGCACTTGAATTTGCAATTAACAATTTCATTGGTGCCGGCGCGGATCAATAAACAAATCGTAGTATGTAATATTACTATTATAGCACCTGTTCAGCATTATTCATTCGGTCGTACAAAGTATACAACCGAGCTGCGACCCAAATGATCGAAACGATCGAATCTTTTAAACCCGATCACCATAAGAGTGGGTCATGATCAACCCAGGTCACGAGAAATGATCGATCGACACAGGTCTACTTTTCACACACAATTTAAGTAGGTACTTAAAATAATAATGTTATTTTTTTTCGTTTGAAAATTTCCGCGCGCGCCCTTTTATAACCTTGCGCCTTTCGGCACGTGCCTGGTTTGCCTTAAGGATAATCCGCCACTGATGACAGTACTCTTTAGCTGCGACAATCCTCTTTCCCGTAGATTTCGTGTGAGACAAGAGGGTGTATGGTGTGAACTAGACGTCCAGTCCTCGGCCTGCGTAGAGATCCTGCTTCCCGGGCAAGTGTGCGTGCTGAGGCGAGACGACGGACTACCCATGGGAGGGTATCAGGTGGGGATATAATTATTTTGTCAAATTACTAACTATGCACGGGTCTTTTAGATCTGGACTACAGCGGCACCTACCGGGTTCAACTATAGCTAACAACCACTTTACTCTACTAACACTATTTTATACGTGGTAGAGCCACGCTGCAGCTATATTCTGGTTGTAGCCCGAATGGGTCGGCTCGACCGGTGGAAGAACGACGCTCTCACAGAATACCAGAATTAAATAGCAGCTTAATACTGCTATGTGAGTGTAGAGATCAGAAGACCCTTTTTTACTGGATATGGAACACTGGATTTTATTAAAGAATAAGGTTAGTATGTGAGCACACAGTTCACCTGATGGTAAGTAGTTACTGTGGCCCATAGACATCTACATCTATCCTCGATTAAGAATCAAAATGCAGATGCGTTGTCACCCGTGAGGACTGAGATGGAATGTCTTTATAGTTATAAAGATGAATCTAAGCACATTCTTAGCCGTGTGGTGCCGGAGTATGAAGACCCATCAGGGTGTCGTAGAAGGTAACTATGGGGAATAGCTGATAGATCTCGTAGCTCCCGATAGATGGCAGAATAACCAACTCGTTTATTCCAAACCGTATAGGGAGTTTTACATTCCAGTTGCAGAAACACTAGCAAATTCTCTTTAAAAAAAGAGACCGTTGTTGTAAACGCCATTTTAAAGTATAAGCGTAACAAATGAGCATACAATTCACCTGTTGGTAAGTGGATGCTGCGATCGTTTCACATCTACATCTATACGTGGTAGAGCCATGCTGCAGCTTTAAATTGTAGTTGCAGCACGAATGGGTCGCCTCGACCGGGGAACGATCACACTCTCACAGAATACCAGCGTAAAATAGCAGCTTAATGCTGCTGTGTTTTGTATGGTGAGTGTAGAGAACCGGAGAACTGTTACTGGAAACGAGGTATTCCATTTCAGTCCTCAGGGGTGACAACGCATCTATGTTTTGATTCTTAATCGAGTATAAATGTAGATGTCTATGGACCACAACATCCTTTTATCATCATGTGGACTGTGTGCTCGTTTCTCACCCTTATTCTATAAAGAAAATCAAATCCCTTTTAATCCCTTGATTAAATATCGAAGTGCAGATGTGTTGTTACTCCTGAGGACTAAGATGTAATGCCTCGTTTCCAGTAAAAATGGTCTCCGGTTCTCTACACTCACCATATGAAACACGGTAGCATTAAGCTGCTATTTCACGCTGGTATTCTATGAAAACGTAGTCCTTCTCCGGCCGTACCGATCCCTTCCTTATGCAACTGTATTTACTACCATCATCATAAATATATCATATAGCTGCAGCATAGCTCCACCACACAAAAAAACCTATGAAATCTACTCTCTAACGAAACCCAAGGAATGAGATGAGATAGTGAACTTTCTTAGTCTTAAGAAATACCATTAAAATGAGATTTATTATCATATCACGTGGGTGTCATAAAAGATGACCGTAGGAAATCCATTTAACTTATAAAAATCCCCCCATTGATTCCCCATTGAATCCCCCATTGATGATGACTGACATGGGAATATTGCCACAATTTTTTATTTTTACTTGTTATTTGGAATACGCTATCGCTCATCTCCTGATCTGTTTCGCTCTGTTGCCTCTTACGACACTCTCGTGATGATATTATTACTCTTGAATTGAGAATTCCTAACTCTTTAATTCACTTTACACTAATTAAAATTAAAACACTAATAATTAATCACACTGATTCACTTTATTCCGCTCCGAAGCTTCGCTTGTCTCGCCAAATTCAATACTTCCCCCGATCGCACCTTGCAGCGCCTATAAATACACATTAGCACCGAAACATCCAGAACATTCAAGTAAATACGCGCACCAATTGACAAGGCGCCGAAAGTTCGAGTGTCGGCTTCTAGAAGCTTAGTTCTTCGTTTCGACACTAGATGACGCTGTCGGTTGAAAGATTAGTGATGTCATTTTCTGGAAAGTTCCCCCCGCTCTCGTCCCTGACACTACATGACGTCAACTTAGGCGCGCAACTATATAACTATAATAAATCTCATTTTAATGGTATTTCTTAAGGCTAAGAAAGTTTACTACCACATGTTATTCTTTGGGTTTCGTTAGAGAGTTGATTTCATACTACTCCACTAAGTTAATTACCCTACTCCATAGTGAATCTTCTTACACCGCCAATACGCGATGAATCGTATAAAAATGTATTAACTAACTTAGTTTAATTAACATAGCTTAGTGTTTTCTTTTATTATTGATTTATTTGTTTATATCTCAGAGCTTTTTTCCATATACCACTTTTATCACTTTAAAAAAAACCGACATGTAGAAATTGTATATAAGAGAATCTTAATAAAATCATTTTATTTTTAAAGAGTATCAGTCTGGAACCGAACCCAGAGATCCTAGCGAAAGTGCTGGCGTTAATATCCGACCACGTCGACCTACTGCTAGAGGACTGGTATCCATCGCTTGGTAAGTAACACGTTTGAAATGATTTATAACATTTTCATTTCAAACTTTAGGAAACACCTTTTTGTACCATTTCTTGGTACCAGACCAGTCAAAAGCCTACTGTTGGAGCCATGCTTCTTTCTAATGACGGATAAAAACCTTACGTTCACCAGATGTTGCGAGTTGGTACAAAAGTGAACTTGTTTCCAAACAACATCAGCAATAAAATTATCACCTGTAACTTTTGTCCCATAGGATATATCTGAGAATTTTTGTCATTTAGTCTTAGTGACATCATCAAATGTTCAAGACGCATTCGTTTCATAAATTTAAAAAATATTTTTAAATAAAATATGCCCGTGTTGCATTAAGGTATTGGAAGTCACGATATGAAGCAAAAAATAAACGTGATATCAATTTATTATCGTAAGAATAATGTATATTTACCAAATAATCTTAAAATTTTATGATTTCTGATAGATTGTTCTAGAACATTGACTATTATTGTAAGAAGCGCCCTCTGTTGTCCAGTAACGTCACTATTTATTTACTAATATGTTACTGGTTGACGACGTGGCTAAAACGGATTTTTCCCTTATATTTAGAAGCGTCACCTAATGGGGAAAAGCTAAAATGTTTTCCTAATAAATATGCAGCGTAGTATTGCTATGTTTCGTTAGAGGGCGTAACACACGCGCGAGCTCTCAGTTTTTGTATGCAGATGTTTTGTTCGCTTATCTGTTTCGGCTTTCACGAGGTTCTCGTCATACGTAACGGTAATGTCGACCAAAAATATCCTTGACTGTGCCCGGTCCATCAGCACAATATCAGGCTTATTCGCAAGAATAGTCCTGTCTGTGATGATGGCCCGGTCCCAGTAGAGCCTGGCGCGGTCATTTTCGAGCACGGCTTCCGGCAAGTACTTGTAATACGGCAATTTTCGATCCACGAGACCGTATTTCAGAGCGAGCTCCTGGTGTAGCATTCCGGCTACTAGGTTGTGCCTGTGCAAGTACTCAGAGTTAGAAAGCGCCGAACAACCGGAGATGACATGCATAAGTATACTATAGAGCGGACATTAGGAATGTCCGCTCTATAGTATATATATTTAAAACTCGTTGTTTGTTACGTTGATGGTCTACACAGTGTCCTCATAATTGAAAAGTAGCGTTTTTGATTATAAGTTTTCGGTTTTTTTTTCTTTCTTTCCTCATCATGAACAAAATGTGTATTTTTTTTTAATTCTTTACTTTTAGGAATATCCGTAGTTTGGTTTATAATTTGAGTAATTTAAAATACTAGCGATCCGGCTCCGCAAGGGTGACTTCTGGATCTCGATAGCAGCGCCACAACCGTAACCAAAGTGAACCTAAACCATCCAGGAACACATTCAAACATATATAAAAAAATTAATCATAATTGGTCGAGCCGTTTTTAGTGAGACTCATGGACAGTAATTGATTTTTATTATGAATGCCTCGATACACGTTTTTGCCTATACGATACCGATACGACACTGATACCGATACTCTTACAAAAATATCGGCGATGCCGAGACCGATACGCATATCGAATTCAAAAACGAAGGTACAATCAATAAAAAAACAAGATTAAAACTACTTTTACGGATTTTATCGCGTTTATTTTTACTTTTATTTTTAATTCCCGACGTTTCGGGCGCTTTCCAGCACCCATGGTCACGGGGGGCTGAGATGACTGACGTCCCGATGTCATTGTTAAACCCGGAGTACCTTCAGCTTTTTTAATTATTGTTTATGGTCCGATCTATGCAAAATGAACTGACTATGTCCTGAGGTCTTGCAGTGGTATGCTTGGGTTTAGTTTCAATTTTATTGATTATAGGATCCCAAGCAGGTGGCAGTACTCAGCCTCCTTCTCTATTGAAATTAGGATCAAATATTGAATTAGGATTTTCTAAAACTTTTATTGTTTTTTTACATCAGACTTTATTAACAATTTTACCATCAGACAAAGTAACTGCATTTTTAGAACATCTTAATTCCATAAACTCTAAAATTCAATTTACTATGGAGTTAGAGGCAAATAATTCCTTACCTTTCCTAGATGTGTTAGTCATCCGAAATCCTAATAACACCATTGGTCACACTGTGTATAGGAAAAGGACCCATACAAACCGATATTTAAACGGTGAAAATCACTACCATACTTCACAGTTAGCTACCGTGGGCAAATCTTTGTTACAGAGAGCACGAGGGATCTGTGACAGCAAACACCTGGCCGCCGAGCTTCAGCACGTCAAGCAAGTTCTGCACGACAACAAGCTTCGGGTCCCGCACCTCCGTCACAGTGACCGAGTGAAGCCGGCCACAGCCGAGCGTGTGCCTGCTGTACTACCATATGTCAGAGGTGTCACAGACAAGATTGGCTATATCTTGAAGCGAGCTTCTATTAGAACATTCTACAAGCCGCCGAAGAAGATTAGTCAGTTCCTACCATCCGTCAAGTGTCATATTCCTCTACAAGATGCAGGAGTGTACAAGCTTGATTGTGAATGTGGTGTCTCTTATATAGGACAAACAAAAAAGATCAATTAGGACCCGCGTAAAAGAACATATAGCTGATGTGAAGCATCAACGTTCCGGGAAGTCTGCAGTTTGTGATCATATCCTAGACGGACCCAACCATTACATCAGATTTGATAGACCACAAATCCTCGCGAAAGAACACCGATTCCTACCAAGGATGATACGTGAGGCTATTGAAATTAAAAAACATCCTAATTTCAATAGAGAAGGAGGCTGGGTACTACCACCTGCTTGGGATCCTATAATCAATAAAATTAAAACTAAACCCAAGCATACCACTGCAAGACCTCAGGACATAGTCATTTCATTTTGCATAGATCGGACCATAAACAATAATTAAAAAAGATGAAGGTACTCCGGGTTTAACAATGACATCGGGACGTCAGTCATCTCAGTCCCCCGTGACCATGGGTGCTGGAAAGCGCCCGAAACGTCGGGAATTATAAATAAAAGTAAATAAAAAGTAAAAATAAACGCGATAAAATCCGTAAAAGTAGTTTTAATCATGTATAGTGTTCGCGTAAATATAAGAAATCATTAAATAAAAAACAAGTCAGGTTATTTTTTTTATTAATATAAAAATTAAAAATAACATGACAAACTAAATAAAACCGTTTAAAACTATAGACAGTTGCCTTTGCAATGAAATAGACGAGACAACACGCACGTTTACATTACATTTTTGAAGCGCGAAATTTGAAAAGTATCGTTGTATCGGCAAAATTTGAGTATCGCGGATATATCGGTATCGGTATCGGATGCATCCCAAATTTTTATATATGGAGATAACTAATGTTTCACAAAGAAACATAACTCAACACGTTTCTAACAAATTAATTTCTAAATTGTCTCATTCCTAAGTAATTAAATAAATGATTAACTAAGTTAATGTATATTACCCTGCTTTCTTAGGCACCCGCTTCGTGCACACGTCCGAGGGGCGGTGCCTGATCACGCGTGCAGTTCCGTGCCCGAACTGCTTGCGGGATCCGCACCACGAGCCCCACCAGGAACCACTGCAACAAGACCACCACCTAACGCAGGTAATTATTTCTTATATTTACGCGAATACTACTGTTACGAGCTTCAGGTTCGCAACAATAAAAACTGCCGATTGAATTACCAAAATTGACACTTTAATTACTGAACACCAATTAATACTTAAATCACACTAATAATTATTCACACTTAACACTATAGTTCATTTCATTTCACTCCGAAAGCTTCGCTCGTATCGCCAATTCAAACTACCCCGGTCGCGGCGTCCAATGGCCTTAAATAGGTCTTCGGAAACATCCAGAATGTTACAGTAAATACCGGTCCCGACCGACTAAGTGCAGAAAATTCGAGGGTGGACTTTTCTAGAAAGATTAATTCTTCTATTCAATACTAGATTGCGCTGTTGGGAGAGTTCCAAAAAGATCTTGACACTTCTAGTTTTGATGCGTGATACCAGATGGCGCGAGTGCCATCAACTGTGGCGCGCAACACTACATATGGAATAAAAGATTTTTTAACAATTTTCTCGCGTTTAATTTTTCCCCGAAGTGGTTGAGCCACGCTGCAGCTATATTAGTTGTAGCACAAATGGGTCGGCTCGACCGGGGGAAAACAAAGGTCTTTTTTTTATAGGATAGGTTGACAAACGAGCACACAGTCCACCTGATGGTAAGTGGATGCTGTGGCCCATAGACATCTACATCTATCCTCGATTACGAATCAAAATGCAGATGCGTTGTCACCCGTGAGGACTAAGATGGAATGCCTCGTTTCCAGTAAAAAAGGTCTCCGTTTCTCTACACTCACCATATGATATACAGCAGCATTAAGCTGTTATATTACGTTGGTATTCTATGAGAGCGTGGTCCTACCCCGGTCGAGCCGACTCTTTCGTGCTACTACCATAATATAGCTGCAGCGAAGCTCTGCCACGTGTGATGCTGTGTTTCGTTTGGTGAGTGTAGAGAAACAAGTACACATACGGAGACACTAGTAGAGAGAGTAATACTAACAAATCTTATGGATAATGATTTCTTATATTTACATGAACACTACACATTGATTAAAACTACTTTTACGGATTTTATCGCGTTTATTTTACTTTTAATTACTTTTGTTTTTAATTCCCGACGTTTCGTGCGCTTTCCAGCACCCATGGTCACGGGGGACTGAGATGACTGACGTCCCGATGTCATTGTTAAACCCGGAGTACCTTCAGCTCTTTTAATTATTGTTTATGATCCGATCTATACAAAATGAACTATGTCCTGAGCTCTTGCAGCGGTATGCTTGGGTTTAGTTTTAATTTTATTGATTATAGGATCCCAAGCAGGTGGTAGTACCCAGCCTCCTTCTCTATTGAAATTAGGATGTTTTTAATTTCAATAGCCTCACGTATCATCCTTGGTAGGAATCGGTGTTCTTTCGCGAGGATTTGTGGTCTATCAAATCTGATGTAATGGTTGGGGCCGTCTAGGATATGATCAAAAACTGCAGACTTCCCGGAACGTTGATGCTTCACATAACTAAAAACAAAAGTAATTAAAAGTAAAATAAACGCGATAAAATCCGTAAAAGTAGTTTTAATCAAAATCTTACGGATGTTTAAAAATCTAAAATAATTTTCGCAGATGCTCAGGCGTCTGGATCTTGGCAACGCAGAGCCACGTCCATTGCGACTGTCCGAGGAGTCGCGTACATCGGACGGTGACAGTGGTGTGGGCGCTGAATCTAACGGTGAGTGTACGAACGACTTACTTCATATATTTCTATATTTTAATTTTACTAATATTCAACCTTTACTTAAATTTTTCACCTAGCCGGTAGATCTACGCTTGAAGTTCATGACAAGTATGTTTTCCTGGGACAAATTGTTCGACTAGGTAAGTCCAACTTTGATCGAGAGGTATATCCGACGGGTTCAACTCGGCTTCGTAGCGTTCAGGAAATTACGACACATCTTCACGTCAGACATACCTCAAAACTTGAAAACGAGATTGTACAACCAGTGTGTGTTGCCAGTGACGACCTATGAATCTGAGACGTGTTTCTTCATTGCTGGCCGTATGAGGAAGCTCAAGGTTACTCAGCGAGCTACGGAGAGGGCTATGTTTGGGTATTTTCTGCGCGATAGACTTAAAAACGGGGATATCTGCAGCAGAACCAGAGTAACCAACATCCCAACGGATTATTAAGCTGAAGTGGCAATGGGCTGGCCATTTAGTTCGAAGAACTGGTAGCCGATGGCAAAAAGTTTCTCGGGTGGCAGCCTCGTATCGGTAGGTGAAGTGTTGGGCGTTCTCCTACAAAATGTAGTGACGACCTGGCAACACATTCAGGAAGTCGATGGATGCGGGTAACTCAGGACCGTGCTTTGTGACGTTCCTTGTGGGAGGCCTATGTTCAGCAGTGGGCCTGTGTAGAGCTGTAATGATAATGATGATGATAATTTAGTCTGAAATTAAATCTTATTATAGTTTTTTGTTGAACAATAGAGTTAATTTTTGGCTTAATATATCAGAAGTGTCTTTCCGTCCGACAATAAATTGATTTCGTACTGAAATGCGCGTTTATTACGCTAAGGCAGTGCGATTTACCAATTAGAACTTCGTCGACAGTTATCACCTGGTGGGATTGTAGACAGCCTTATAATAATTAAAACTACTATCTTTGGGTGCGCGAATGACGAAAGGTATTGGCGGGGCGAACCATAGAATACTATTATACATACGTAATAAATACAGAACGCGGGGTGGGCAGAGCCCGTGTAGCCACTAACATGTCAATTCACACGTATAAATGTCAACACAATAAATCGTTTCCAATTTTCGTGTCAAGCGTCGCTGCATGCAAATTATTTAAAAAATGGCAAATTGTGCAATAATTACGTATCGAAAGAACAGCGGGAAATAGAATTTAAATAAAGGAGACATATTCTACAACCACTAAGTCGAAATTATTTATATTTTGTGAATATTAGAAACAAAAATAAAGAAACATTTATGTGTCAAAAACATTAATCAAAAGTCTAAAATGTGTATGTAGTAGTGATAATTGCTTGTATGTGTGCTCCCGGCGACGTCAACCCTCGTATAAATTAAGGTTGACAGCCATTCTATTGTATTATAGTATTCTATGGGGCGAACGATTAAATGGACTGTATTAGCGTGGTCCAAAAGGAACCAGAACAAAATGGCGGACGTGGCACGTTGCGGGCATTGGACCCTATACTTCTATGAAACTAATTTGATGTGATAGCCGACATGGCGGGATGTCAGCTGGAACAACAAATAAAACATCTCATAAAAAAACAAGCACCTACTTGGGGAAGCTGCGAGCGGCCTCTCTACGGCCATGCGGGCACGATGGTAACCGCGAACCGTTGTCGGCTTGCGGACACGACCAAAATTGTACTGCACTGGGGTGGCGGCGCACGTATTTTTACAGCTTACACCATCTCCCCCTTCCACTTGGCGGAGCGCGCCTCCCATTGGAGGGCCAAAGATGCGTCCACCTGTATCTAACTCTTCGCCCCCAAGCAGGCCCGTGCGGGGAAAGAACGGAAGTGAGGGGACGTTATGCCGGCCAATACAACCAACAAACTACATCAACAAATACGAAAATGAAAGGGCGTGCGTTGGCGCAAACAATCTTATAACAGTTTATACTAGTTAGTCGGCTCCACAGAATCAGTAATTCGTTTATTAATGTATATGGGAGATTATTATACGAACAAGTAAAAGTTAATTGTCCGCTGTATGCTGATGATGCAGTGCTTATTGCACCATCAGCAGCAGAACTGCAGGCATTAGTCACGTGTATGAAAGAGGAATGTGAAATTAAAGGTCTCCGTTTGAATGCTAATAAAACTAAGGTTCTGGTATTTGAAAAGGACGAAGAGAGAACGAAATGTGAAATATGGGTAAATCAGGAATGTCTAGAACAGGTAAATGAAATTGTATACTTGGGGAGTGCTTTCAGCCGGGATGGAAGATGTGATTTAGATGTGGATAGGCGTGTCGCTGCCGGAAACAAAGTCAATGGTGCCCTGAATGCATTAGTCAAAAGACAAGGCGTGGTGAAGAGTGCACGCCTTGCAATACATAACGCAGTGTTGGTACCGACTTTGTTATATGGCAGCGAAACCTGGGTATGCCAGAAGAAGCATAAAAGCAAGTTGAATGCAGTGGAGATGCGATCTCTTCGTAAAATGTGTGGCGTTACCTTAGCCGACCGAAAGCGAAACGAAGAGATTCGCAATATGGCAGGATTGAAAGATGACCTTGTCACAAAAATTGATAGGGGCGTACTCCAATGGTTTGGGCACGTTGAACGAATGAGTGAAGACCGAATGGTGAAGAAAATATATAGAGCGAAAGTAAATATTAAAAGGTGTCGAGGTAGACCGAGACTAACTTTCGAAGACCATGTGAGCAAATTGCTCGAAGAGGGGAGGGTCAAGAGTAGTCGGATACCTAGACGTGCATGTATGAAGAAGTTAATGAACCTGAAGGAATCGAAAGAGGTATGTAAGGATCCTGACACTTGGCGATCTGTTCTCTCTGGCTACCCCGTTAGGGATTGTGCGTGAAGATAAGTAAGTAAGTAAGTAAGTAATTATACGTACAAAGTCCCAGAAAATGTACAAGATCCCTCCCTCTGTTTATATTTCATTCAGTTTCAATTTACTCGAATACTTGACATTGAAGTAAGTTAGAAAGCAGTTTTTCACTTCAATAAATCTATTGTAATCCGTAAAACCCACAGCCTCCTCCCGCATCGGTTCAGTGGAAGGCGTTGCTAGCGTTAGCCTTCCCGTGGCCACGTGCTGGACCCTGGAGGAGTGCATCCTGGCGGGTTGCACTTCCAAGCGGCTGCATTGCGTGCAGCACGGTGAAGTGGAACTCAGAGACGTGGCGCCCGATACGGTGAGTGTCTTAAACATCTTCGTAGAGATTGAAGCAGTCCAGTACTGTACAATAAGTTCCCATATATCCAAAGGGATAAACCATAGTAGAACCAGAGTGATCGATAAGCCCAGCGGATTCAGTTATTATTTTACGCGGTAGAGCCATGCTGCAGTTAAATTAGTAGTATAGTTGTTGCACGAATGGATCGGCTCGACCGGGGTAGGACCACGCTCGCACGGAATACCAGCGTCAAAAACTGTGCTGCTGTGTTTCGTATGGTGAGTGTAGAGATCCGGAGACCCTTTTTTACTGGAAACGAGGCATTCCATCTTAGTCTGCAGGGGTGACAACGCATCTGCATTTTGATTCGTAATCGAGGATAGATGTAGATGTCTATGGGCCACAGTAACCACTTACCATCAGGTGGACTGTGTGCTCGTTTGTCACCCTATCCTATAAAAGAAAAGTTGAGTAGCAGTGGGTTCGCCATATAGCTCAAAGAAGTGTTTTGTGGCTCCCCTCTAGATAGAGTGACAATTTGGTAAGTGATGTATGAAGTCGATGGATGCACGTGGCTCAGGATCGTGCTTCGTGGTGTGTTTAGGGGGAGGCCTATGATCAGAAATGGTCTTGTTAAGGACTGTAATGATGATGAAGATAAAGTTCCCATAAATTGGGAAGATATTGAATTGAAGTAATCCTGAATCTGGACAGTCGCATCACCGATCGATACTACCTATCAGTCATGAGTCTCTGATGTCGGATGGTTTAGTTCTAGTATTTTGAAATGATTTTTTGATCGCTAGCTTTTGGTTGTTACAATTTTTTTCTGATATATTATTTAAATTCTATCTCATTTGCTTAAAGTAAGTAAGAGCGTTGATAACTCAGGTGCTAAGCGCTAATTGTAAATTATCAACATTTAAAGCAATTTTAAGTGCTGATATATCACTTGCTCGACAGTTAAAGAAAACATCGTTAGGAAACCTGCATGTCTGTGAAATTAAATATAAATACATAATTCCAAGAGATGTGAAGCTGGAGCAGTGCGGTGGACATATCTTTGCCCTTAAACTCTCTCAATTGATTCGCTGAATCTAAGCATACATCATACATCGTCGTGCGGTAGTCACCTTAATATACTTTAGTAGTCACTTCATATATTTTGGTAGACACCTCAGTATAAGGATAATGTCCTCCAGACCAAATTTCGGTCACGGCGGCCTGCCTCAACGGAGGCTAGCCATCAGCGCAGGACAGGATTATAATGCCCAAGTGTATGCGCAAGCACAGGTGCACTCTCTATTGCCTCACTCTCATAGTCCGATGGGTCGGTAATTCAACACGACCGTAGAGATCAGGCGCAGGACCAACGGCTTTATGTTCCGAAGCACGGTGGCGAAACACCGTCAACTTCGTAACTCCGGGCTGCTATTGAAATTTTTTCACAGAAAAACCCAATTAACTTATTTCGGCCCGACACAGGATTCGAACTCGGGAGCTCACGATAATCAATCACGTTTGCGACTGCAAGACCAACAAGGCAGACCTCATCAATACACTTCGATAGTCACCTTAATATACTTGGATAGTGGGATAGGATATTGAGGTGAGCATCGCTTCGCTAAACACAGTCGTCCTCTCCAGCTGCTGCTGGACGTGGAGGAGGAGAAGCGCGCCCGCTGGGAGCACGTGCAGCGCGGCGCGGTGGCGGGCCGCGGCGCCTTCGGCACCGTGCTGGCGGCCAGCTGGCGCCGGCCCGGCCGCGCGCCGCTGCCCGTGGCGCTGAAGGCGCTGCAGCCCGTGCCGCCGCCGCCGCCCCACCAGCTCAGCGCACTGCAGGCTTACAAGGTTTTTCTTCCTTTGCTCATGGACTCGTACGATTGTACTTCTGCCAGTGTCAAGTAATATGCTCAATGGAGCTCCTTTACTCAACTACTGTAAGTCGTAATGTGTCAAAAAGTCACTGTTACGATTTTTTTTTCTCGGGATTACTTAGTAAATTGCAATAATTTTTGTTTAGTACCGAGCTGTTGACAATGCTTTAACATAGTGACGTCACAAATATAACAGTCACTTATGGTGCGTTTTGAAGTCACGTGATAATTTTTGAATTTTTGTAACTTTTAATTAATTAATAATGAATTATACATAATTTCAAAAATTGCCAGCCATGATAGATCAGATGGTTAGCGCTCGCTTTACGCGAGCAACCCGGGTTCGATCCTCGCCGGCACCTTTAACTTTTTTAACTTTTAGTTTAACAAACTTTTTTAGATTTGATTACCAATATGCACTCTAATAAATTATACAAATCCAATAAACAAAACGATAATTAATTTCCATTCAAAACGCCAATTCTACACTCGCGTGGTTGACAACAAACGGTCTGCAAGTCTATACGATTTACAACAGAAATGTTCAAACGCGGTTGTAAACGCATGCCCGTCAACCAAGAACGTTGCAATGTCAACTATAGTACCTGGATGACCGAGTTTTGCTCGTTTTTTTTTTGAAATTACATTTAGATACTAACATACTGATGAAACATGAATAATATTTTTTTATCTTATTGACATAATAGAAAAAACTGAACTGTTTATTTGAATAAAAAATCATGAGTGCAATTAGTTTAATTAAAATTTTTGTATTTTTAAAAAATACTAAAAAAGGGGCTCAAAATAATAAATTTTCTCACAAAAGAAGGGAACTTGAAAAAAAAAAGGGAAAAAAGTCGGACCGAAGACAGGACGCGAACCAAGGCATTACGATTTCGCGACCGCTCGATATCCACTTGAGCTATTACGATCATTAACAAAGTGTCAAAATTTACCTTCTTATATTGTAACAGTTTTTCATTGCCTGAAAACACGGAAAAAAAGGCATTTTCTAAAAATAAATTCTAGCTAGATCGATTTATTGCCCCCGAAACGCCCTGGACACTAAATTTTATGAAAATCGTTGGAGCCGTTTCCGAGATTGCGATTATATATATATATATATATATATATATATATCTATATATTACTATTATTATATATATACAGTATCCATATTACACAACATATGCCATATATATATATTATCACTACTACAAATCCGATTCGCTGTGTTGTTTTAAATTTAAACATTTTAGACTTTTGATTAATGTTCAAGATCATCATTAAAAAATCGTTAAAATTTTAATAAATATTTAATAATATAATTTGCATGCGAAATTTGGTAACGATTGTAATGTCAAATCACATCTCGTGTTGACATTTATACGTGTGAATTGACATGTTGCTGACATTTTAGTGGCTACACTGGCTCCGCCCACTCCCGCGTTCTATTATGTATGTATTATAGTATTTTATGGTCCCATGGGTGCTGGAAGAAGTAACAGAGAGAAACATCAACAAAAACAACTATGCCAAATATCCTCCGTCTGAGGCAATGTCGGGGGGAGGTGTAAATTCACCAGTGAACTTTTAATAAGTTTATTTAACTTTAACGGTAACGATTTCGATAGTCGACGACGATGATGCCCAATCGTGCCCCGTTAACCAGAGGCGTAGCGCGATCAACGGATAACCAGGGCGTTGTCTTTACAAAGGATTAATTTCGCGAAGTTTTTTTGAATCGTAGCCGTCGAGATATTTTTATCGTCTACATGATGGGAAACGTTTTTTTTTGTCGTGAGGAAATCCTCATGGACACCTTTCGCTCTACGGATAATGAAATTGTTATACTGATTTGAAACTGATATGACTGATTTATATATGCGGGGTACCGGGATCTTCGTTTAGAACGCAACCGGGGCGCTACTATCTCTTTGCAACATTATTAGCATGCCCTAGGGGTCTAGTACTTGCTGCATTTAGCATCCAGCAAGTCTGCCCCAAGTACTGTAAGGAGGTTAGAAACTATCGGATCACGACCAAAGGACTTATTTTGCAAAGCATGAGGTTGCAAATTACTGTCCACATTGTTTTGCAAGTTAGCAAAGTCTTTTCTGTCAGATGTTTCTCTTGTTCTTCTTGTTGTTTACCGTTTGACACAGCGTTTATTTTATTGTCAAGTACAGTGGATTGTCTGGTGCGGTGCAAGTGGATCGCAAATTCTGATATTGGACGGCTATGTCTTCTCGTGTACAAATCGTCAAGGTCACCATTGACAGGAGTTGCTTTACCTGTGTAGTCATTGGGTCGTCTGTTACTGTGCAGGCGGCACTGTCGCGTTGGGAACGAGAGCCAGCGGCCGCCGCGTGCCGCGCGTACTGCGCGCTGCGGCAGGAGCTGGGCGTGCTGGCGCGCCTGCGGCACGCGCACGTGCTGCCGCTGCTCGCCGTGTGCTGCGCGCCGCTCGCGCTTCTGCTGGCGCTCGCTCCGCAGGTGAGCGTGCATACACGCACTCACTCACACACACACACACACACACACAGACATACGCGCGCGCGCGCGTGCAGCAGCCTCTCGCCGTGTGCAGCGTGCTGCTCGCGCTGCTGCTGGCGCTTGCGCCGCAGGTGAGCGTAAATACGCTCACACGCACACGCCCACACTCTTATACACACTCTTTCACGCTTAACTGGCATAGAATACTAAAGAGCTATAAAGTGTTCCATTCTTATTTTTTAAATAATTCAAAAATACGCTGTTACTTTAGGCATTATATCTTGTACGATATTTTTTTATTATTATTCTATATTGTTTTTTACATCGACTCAGTTGCATATTTGTTTCGGCAGGGTGCGCTAGACGCGAGCCTGCGCACGTACCGCGGCTGCGGCGCGCGTATCGGACCGCGCGTCGTGCGTGCGCTCGCGTTGCAACTTGCACGTGCGCTTGAGTATTTGCACGCGCATCGAGTGGTCTACCGGGACCTGAAGGTACATTAACTGACCTATATTAAACACGTTATAATTTGCTTTTATATATACTAACAGTTGAAATTCTGCCGCAGTTTAGTAGTATTTTGTATGTAGTGCTATTGAATTCTTTTCCTTTTAATAGAATAAATATGACAAACGATTATACAGTCCTCTTGATGGTAGGTAGATCAAAAGGGTCTCCGGTTCTCTACACTCACCATACGAAATACAGCGGCATTAAGTTACTATTTGACGCTGGTATTCTGTGAGTGCCTAATGCCATAACGCCTCTTTTCCAGTAAAAAAGGTCTACAGTTCTAGCGTAACCTAGTTAAAAGTCTTTTGTACGCTACTTCTACACTCATCATACGAAACGTAGCAGAAATTATACTGCTATATTACACTGGTTATCGTGCGGGCATGATTCTTCCTTTATTGAGTCGAACCATTTGTGCTGCAGTATTAATGTTGTGTACATTGTTACTCCTACAATTCCAGTCCACTTGCAAAATAAAGAAAATATGAAAATATCTTCTACACCTAATTTCAGTCATGACGGCTAGCTTCAAAGGAGATAAGTCATCTATCCAGGACAGGACAGCGCAGGTGCACTCAACTCCCTCACTGTACGAACGTAAATTAATTAAAACTATTGTTCGCCTAATGTTCGAAATTTGACCTATATACATTTTTAAGACTGTATATTAAGTATTATACACTGTCAACATATTAAGGTGGAGTAATGAATCCAAATGAGTTGATATGACTCTCGAGAGCTTCAAGATGTCTGCAAACAATGAAACGTAGCTTGCTTTTAGCTTACTTCTGAAATCATTTATAAAGAGAGAGAACAATATTGGTCCCAGATAGGAACCCTGAGGTACGCCAGATTCTGCATAGTACATTAACTATTCATTAATTCCTACCACCACTAACTGTGTACTTGCCTTATACACAATTTACATATAAACATCGATATCTAATTTACAAAATATGAAATAATTACTTTCAATCTTCAAAAAGGTGCATTTATAATCACAAAGCTTATTATTCAATCTCTCAGTAATGATGTGTGATAAAAATTGCGTAGTAAATTTTCTATAAAAAAAAACTTTGACTCTAGTCGGAAGAACGTTTTTTTCAGAGAACACAATTTACATATAAACAACGATATCTGATTTACAAAATATGAAATAACTACTTTTCAGCCTTCAAAAAGGTGCATTCATAATCACAAAGTTTACAATTTAATCTCTCAGTAATCATGTGTGATAAAAATTTCGTAGTAAATTATTTGTAAAAAAACTTTGATTCTAGTCAGAGAACGTGCTGGTGTGGGAGATGCCGCGACCCCACGAGGCACAAGCAGCAGAACGTGAACCAGGTCCGGTGCCAGTACACGTCAAGCTAGGAGACTACGGTAGGTATTTGGAATCAATATTTAGTCGATTCCACGGACAAGATGATAACGTTGACAGCACATCTTTAACTCTAAAGTCAAGTGTTTTTTTATAGAATGGGGGTGACAAACCCACAGTCCACCTGATGGTAATTGAATATTGTGGCCCATAGGCATGTACATTTATTTATCTTTGATTAAGAATCAAAATGCAGATGAGTTGTCACCCGTGAGGTTTAAGATGGAATGCCTCTACACTCACCATACGAAACATAGTACTGGTATTCTGTGAGAACGTGGTCCTGCCCCGGTCGAGCCGGCCATTCGTGCTACGATCATAATGTAGCTGCAACAAGGCTCTACCACATATTCCCGAAATAATTTTTAGTTGGTAATAAAGCGTACGATTTTATTCACCATGAGATGAGAATAGAATATTCTAGATCAGTCAATCAATATTTTTACATGGTAGAGCCATGCTGCTGCTATATTATGGTTGTAGTACGAATGGGCCGGCTCGACCGGGAAAGGACCACGCTCTCACAGAATACCAGCGTAAAATAGCAGCTTAATACTATTTTGTTTTGTATAGTGAGAGTAAAGCACCGGAGACCCTTTTTACTGGAATCGAGGCATCCATTTTGATTCTTTATTGAGGACAAATGTAAATGTCTATGGTTCACAACATTCACTTACCATCAGGTGGACTGTGTGCTTATTAGTCCCCTTATTAATAGCCAACTTTCCAACTTTACTGAGAACCGCTTGCAAGGCGTGGCAACTACGGCAAATATCCCCTCCCCCCTATGTGGCATCCTATGGGGGATGCCTATGTTAAGAAGCATACTTTTGATAGACTAATCAAAATAATTAAATTGAACTAATCGTTATTCAGGTATCAGCAGGATGGCTCCACCCTCCGGAACGAAAGGCTTCGGGGGGACTGAAGGTTTTATGGCGCCGGAGATCATGCGATACAACGGCGAGGAAGAGTACAACGAGAAGGTGAGTGTAAACCCTTTTTTAAAGAGAATTCACTGACACATGTAAACCTGTGGGTGTCGTAAGTGTCGACACAGAGATAACAAATAAGAGGCGGGCAGAAATATCTTTCTGATAACAATTCAAAATAATAATAAAAAACTGTGAACGCCAACCCGCCTGCCAAGTGAGGTAACTATAGGAATAATCCCCCCCCCCCGTGCCTAGGGCCTCTAGAGTCGGTCTATGAGAGAAGCCTATATTCCAGAGTAGCCGTTGAAAGGTTGTGAATTAATGAACTATACGTTTCTATATCCATTACTTTTGAATTAATCGTCAAATTTTGACAGGATATAAAATTTTGTATGCATTCTGTTAAAAAAAAACCTTGTCCGATCCGTAAGGGTGTTTATAGATATTTAAATAATTTAAAAATAAAACTTGTTTTAATTAATTAAACTTGTTTTAACGTGGAAACTGATAATGGCAATAAAGTCGTGCGGGCGGAACGTCTGGCAACACGTTCAAAGATACCGTCGCCGGCGACTGTGTTGCCAGATTCAAAACTTGCAAAATTGTTAGCAAATTGTAGTGTAAAAAATATGTAATTTAAATAACAGTAACATTTTTATATTCATCAATAATATTGTTGCGCGGCTAAGTTGACATCTGGCACTAGCGCCATCTAGTGTCGGGTAACGGAGCGAGGGGAGAGCTTTCCAGAAAATGACATCACTAATCTTTCAACCGACAGCGCCATCTGTTGTCGAAACGAAGAACTAAACTTCTGGAAGCTGACTCTCGAACTTTCGGCGCTTTGTCGATTGGTGCGCGTATTTACTTGAATGTTCTGGATATTTCGGTGCTAATGTGTATTTATAGGCGCTGCAAGGTGCGATCGGAGAAGTATTGAATTTGGCGAGACAAGCGAAGCTTCGGGGCGGAATAATATGAATCAGTGTGATTAATTATTAATGTTTTAAGTTTTAATTGATGTAAACAAAATTAAAGTGTTAATTTAGCTAATTCTATCGGCAAATTTTATTGTCACGAACCTCAAGCTCGTAACAATATGATGTTTTAGTTTTTTTGCTAATGTCATTCTAATACTAATATGCCCCTTTCGGATCGGACTGGTTTTTCTTTACATGTTTGTTGAAGTAAGGTTGGCTAGCGAACACATGTCCATGGTGAGTGTATGCTGTGACCCAGAGAAACCTACTCATTCGATTAAGAATCATATGACAGATCCGTTTTCACCCCTGAGGACTTTTACGTGGTAGAGCCATGATGCAGCTATATTAATTGTATAGTTGTAGCACGAATGGGTCGACTCGACCGGGGAGGACCACGCTCTCACAGAATACCAGCGTCAAATAGTAGCTTAATGCTGCTGTGTTTCGTATGGTGAGTGTAGAGAACCGGAGACCCTTTTTACTGGAAACGAGGCAGTCCATCTTACTCGTCAAGGCTGACAACGCATCTTCATTTTGATTCGTAATCGAGGATAGATGTAGACTGTGTGCTCGTTTGTCACCCTTTTCCTATAAAAAAAAAAGATCGAATGCCTCATTACAACAAAAAGAGTCTCCGTTTCTTTAGACTCACTATACGAATCACAGCAGCATTTAGATTCTTTTTCACGCTACTATTCTGTATGAACATGGCTCTCCGCGGTCGAGCCGACCTATTTATATTGCAGTGTGGCTTTACCACGTGAAACTGCACAAATGCGAATAAAATAACGGTAAATGCCATGAGTGGTTAAATTTCTTTTTTATCCAGGTGGACTGTTTCTCGTTTGGCATGCTTTTGTACGAGGTGATGACACTGCGGCAGCCCTTTGAAGGTCACGAGGCGGTGAAGGAAGCCGTACTGGAGGGTGCGAGGCCAGCGTTGACGTCCAGGGTGAGAACAAATAATATATACTCGTAGTAAGGTGTTGTGCGAAAAGGAAATATAAAAAATACATATAAGTGACTTTTAAAACTAAATAGATTAAAACAATTTCCACACACTAGCTACTTCAGTGGAATCTAAGAATAGCGTGTTGAAAAGTTAAGCCCAGTTTAGTCGGTTTTAACTTTTTTAACAAAGTTTTTTTTATCCTTTTGAGTGGGTGTCATCTAGAACAAAGATTGCCAGAGTGATCGATATCGACTCCTCGGGGTCGAAATCTACATTAAAGAAAACTGGTTTTGAGCGTCGACGAAGTCAAAAATCGACCCCTAATAATTAACACAAGTTCTTGTTTGAAACTTTCAAGATACTGTATAAGTAGTATTACGTGTACCAACTTGTTATAAGAATGACTTATATTTTAGTAGTACTTTTAAAAAACTCAATAAGTCGATAAGCATGCACAAGTTCGTAAAAGATGAAAAACTGGGCACGTCAAAAGGGGCCACCTCCGAAGTAAACCTGTTTAATTAAAAATAAATAAAATCAATCCATAAATAGAGAGTTATGCTCGATATGATTTGCAATACGGAAGGTATTGAAATCAAAAAGTTGATGTGGCAATTATTGTTGACAACTATTTTGGTCACTAGGGCGGCACCACTTTTAGGCGTTGGCTAAAAGTGGTGCCGTAGTATGCCACGTCGAGGCGGCTGCATGACACGTGGTTTCTTGCTGCTTTTATATTTGCGCGGGGTAAAAATGACCAGAAAGGAGTAGTTTTTTGCACAAGATATAATGCAAATTAAAATACGAGTTCGTGATTTAAACTAAAACAGGCATCAGTTTGGTGAACACCGTAGACTGTATTATGAATTACGTCAACACCCACCAAAGTTTTGAGAAATATAATATAATGCATATAATTATTGTACCCAAGACACAGAACGGCCGCGTTTCGTGGTAGCTTTCGGTATGCTGCCACAAAGTGTTGGAAGAATATACCGCCTCCGATCACGGTCAGCAAAACAGTTCGCACTTTTAAAATAAAACTAAAAGAATACCTTTTAAATTTGTAAAGGAAGTAGAATTCTGTGTCGATGTATCACATTTTTCTTGTAAAGTATAGTGTGTCTATATATTATAAAACTAACGAATACTTGCTTAATTGTACATTTATTTATTTTGCTTTTGTATCTTGTCAAATAATTTAATTGTGTGTTTTGTGCCTTGCACATGCATTTTATTGCGCTTTTTGTTGTGACCTTTTCCTAAATGCTAAGAGTTTTATTTTTATTTTTAAATTGTTATGTGTTTTTTTATATATAAGTAAAGTATGTATTTTCATAAGTGTTGGAACCTGTGATTAGTGTAATAAGTTGAGTTTATTCTATTCCACCTATGTCTCCGGCGTTTACTGAAAATCTGTAATTGTAGTTACCACTATGTGGTTTCTATAACATTTATGTGAGTAGACGCCTTTTTAGTTCATTCTGTGGCGGCGCGAAACACACCGAAGCCTAAATCACGCTATCGAAATTCCGATCATAAACAGCATATATAGAACATCTCCGAATTATCACGCGGAGTGTTGGTCGCTCCCCGGGCAGAACACCTTGCCCGGCGGGAGATATATCCCCTATTCCTACCACGCCCACAATTCCATTAAATAATTATGTTATGTTAATTAGTGTGTATGTTTGGAACTAAATAAATTATATTATTATTATTTTAAGAATATCTATATAAGAAAAAATTGTAAAAATTGAAGAAAAATCAAAATGTATTTATTTAAAACATTAATGCATGATACTATGTTACCATCTGGGTGACAAATAACTTCACCTTAGTTCCTAGTTAATAGTAACTAGCGATATGTGGTAAGCGGTAATATTATTAAACCCCAATGTAAAAATGCATGACAAATCTCGCTACTGTGTAATGATATCAAAGCACACTGAACAAATATTCTTATGTGGATGCTGTGGCACAGAGAATTTAGATGGAATGCCTTGTGCCCAGTAAACTGGGTCTCTGGTTCTCTATGGTCTCTCTACTAACCATACAAAAATATCAGAATTAAACTTTTATGTGTGGTAGATCCATGCTGCAACTATATTACTGGTATAGTTGTAACACGAATAGGTCTGCTCGACCGGGGAAGGACCACGCACTCACAGAATACCAGCGTAAAATAGCAGCTTAATACTGCTGTTTTTTGTATGGTGAATGTAGAGAACTGGAGACCCTTTTTACTGGAAACGAGGCATTCCTTCTTACTCCTCACTAGTAAAAACGCATCTGCATTTTGATTCGTAATTGAGAATAGATGTAGATGTTTATGGGCCGGTGTAACTACTTACCATCAGGTGGGCTGTATACTCGTTTGTCACCGTTATCCTATAGAAAATACTGCTATTTCACGTTGGTATTCCGTGAGAGCTTGGTTAAGAGGAAGGCTACATTGGCTTTCACTTTACTCGTACCATGCTGTTTTATAAATTGTTTAGAATTTTTAATAAACCTGAAAACTGATAAATGCACTTACATACACCTGATCATAAGTGGCTACTACATGGACACCTGCAACCAAAATTCAAACAAAAAAGGCTATAGTTGTTTTGTCACCTGAAATTACTAAGATATAATTTTTACTTCCCAGTGGGAAATTATTGTAGTAGGTCCGAATTTGTAAATTGGAAATTTTGCTATATTGTTATTATACATTTTGAAATGGGACCAGTTTCATTTAACGCATAATTATGTAACTTAGACCTCATAAAATTTTGAGCAAAATCGGTCAAATCATTTTTTGTGGTGAATGAAAAATTGCATAAAATATTAAAACATACGATATTTTTCCTACTTTCATCTGGGAAGTTAGTCGTGTGGACCTTTCGGGTCGCACCTAGACCGCTTTTATTTTATTTTTATAGCACTGGGTGACATACGAGCACACAGTCCACCTGATGGTGAGTGCATGTTGTGACCTATAGACATCCACATGTATCCTCAATTAAGAATCGAAATGCAAATGCGATGTTACCCCTGAGGACTAAGATGGAATGCCTCGATTCCAGTAAATAGGATCTCTAGTTTCATACACTCACCATACGAAACACAGCAGCATTAAGCTGCTATTTTACGCTGGCATTCTTTGCAGCCTGAAATTTTAATGGCTTTCTATACCCTACAAGCCGGAACACAGTTAGACCAGGTATCTGCCCAGACGGGTTTGGGAAGAACAAGAGTCCTACCGTTTAGTAATTGTCCAGAAACAGTGCATTGACTAATATAAGGTATACGTGTCTCTACCAGGATCTTCAGTACCCTTGCAGCATGGTGGAGACCATGCGTCGCTGCTGGAGCGGTGCACCAGAGCTCCGGCCGTCTGCTGCTGCCCTGGTAGCAGTGGCTGCTGCCCCCGAGTTCCTTTCCCTAGCGGATGCCGCGTCTGCAAGAGCTTGCACTTCCGCCATTGCGGCGACCAAAGTTCAGCTGCCGTCGGGTGAGTGTACCTTCCTTCATCTGCTGCTGCTCTGATAGCAGTAGCGGCTGCTCTGAATTCCTCTCGCTTGCGGACGCCGCGTCTGCTTGCACCTTCGCTATTGTAGCCAGAGTACACTCTGCCTTTAGGTAGATGTACCTCTCTTCATCTGATGTAATATGGGGTGATGCCATTTCTGTGACGGAACGCGGTATATCACAGGTTGCTCATTAGTTAAACTCAAATCTGTTAACTCTCAATGTCGAGACTATTTATATCATGTGCTCTCATAAGAGCCGTTCTTTAGCACCACCTAATGACATATACGTAAGTTTGCATCTTTGCACGACTTGGAAGAATTTGTGTAGTTGTGAAAAAAGAGAGAGTGGAATCCATTAAATACCTCGTTATATTAATTGATCACAATCTAACTTCAAGGATTTGGCAGGAAGAATTGGTAATATAGTTTACATCACGAGACGACTGAGAAACTTTGCACCCCTGAGCACACTAGTGACCATCTATTATGCCTTATGTCAGTCGCTGCTAACGTATTGTATTTCTTGCTGGGGAAGCGCTTCCACAATTGTCATGATGGGGATTGAAGAGAGTTCAACGTTCGGTCCTGAAAGTTTTACTTAACAAGAAATACAGGTATCCAACAGTTAAACTATACAGAGATAGTAAAGTACTTACAGTTCGGCAGATATTTGTTTTATGTGTGGCTACATGTGCTCATAGAACAATATTAAGCTCACATAAATACAAGCTGATGAAAAAACGAGTGTTTCAAATGCTTTCGCAAAATTATTTAGTCCATTCATTGAAACACTTATATTGTTACGAGCTTAGGGTTCGTGACAATAAAAACTGCCGGTTAAATTACCAAAATTAACACTTTAATTACCGAACACAAATAAAAACTAATACACACTAATAATTAATCACACTTAACACTTTAGTTCACTTCATTTCGCTCCTAAGCCTTCACTTGTATCGCCAATTCAATACTTCCCCGGTCGCGACATTTAACGGCTTCATATAGGCCTTTTTCACCGAAACATCTAGAATATTCCAGCAAATACCGGTCCCGACCGACTAGATGTAGAAAATTCGAGTGTGGACTTTTCTAAAAAGTTTAATTCTTCTATTAGATACTAGATGGCGCTGTTGGTGGAAAGTTCAGTCATGATATTTTCTAGAAAGCTCTCCTCGCTCTGCTCCCCGACACTAGATGGCGCTAGGGGCATCAATTATGGCTTGCAACAATATTTAACAAAGTTATGATGGCATGCGACATAAGAGATTGCTCGACGAACACGGCTAGAATGAAAAAACGAAATTGGTCATTTCATTTTCATCTCCTGGCTTTAATTTGTGACATGTTCTTTTGTTCCTTTGTCCAGAAGACGGTGGCTTAGGCTGGGAGGTGTGGTTCGGTGGCGCGGAACCTGAACGGGTGCACACCTTGTTGGCCAACTCCACGACTTTCCTTCACCAGCACTCGCTCAGGGTGTCGCCAGGTTCGTTGAATCTATTTTGTTTAAGTAATATATATATACATTATAATTCATTTTTACGTTATAGAGCCATGCTGCAGTTTTATTAGTAGTATAGTTGTAGCACGAATGGATCGGCTCGACCGTGAAAGGACTACTCTCTCACAGAATACCAGCGTCAAATAGTAGCTTAATGCTGCTGTGTTTCGTATGGTGAGTGTAGAGAACCGGAGACCCTTTTTACTGGAAATGAGGAATTCTATCTAAATCTTCACGGATGACAACGCATCTGCATTTTGATTCGCAAACGAGGATAGATGTAGATATCTATGGGCTATGGGCCACAGTAACCACTTACCATCTGGTGGACTGTGTGCTCGTTTGTCACCCTTATTCTGTAAAAAATCTAATGGGAAGCTGCCACTGTGGCCTACAGATACTTCGTCATTTTGACGTTCCGTGTTGTGGGGGGGGGGGGGGCGGCGACTATGGAAAACGCTAGAAAAAGTTGATATCTTCCGATAGATGGCGCTATAGGCATCTAGATTAAGTTGTACCCAGACTAGTGACAGACAGCAGCCTTAAAGGTGCTCACGTTTGGTACTGCGAACGTCCATCAGCTTGCCAGACACGATTGTACAGTTGTTGACTTCTAGAGCCGATGTCAAGCTGAGGCTTACGAAGATTTACAATATATAAGAAGTCACTTCGTCGATTTAGTGATAGTAAATGCGACTGCTGATCGTGAGATGCCAGGTTAAAACCTCGAGACTGGCCGAAAAAGAAAAAAACACTTATTAAGTTTTGTGTTAATAAATGTAATGTAGTAGCAGCCCGGAGTCAGAAAGTTGGCGGTATTCTTTTTTTATATAATAAGGGTGACAAACGAGCACACAGTCCACCAGATGGTAAGTGGTTACTGTGGCCCATATACATCTATATTTATCCGAGATTAAAAATCAAAATGCAGATGCGTTGTCACCCATGAGGACTAAGATGGAATGCCTCGTTTCCAGTAAAAAAGGGCCTCCGGATCTCTACACTCACCATACGAAATTCAGCAGTTTTAAGCTGCTATTTCACTTTTATTGTTGAACGCAGTTCAAATTTGTATATCTCTCTGACGCTGTGACTGTTTTTAATTGTATTTGTAATGTAACTGCAACTTCTGCGTTTCTCCTGATATTGTTATAACTTATAAATTTTTATCTTCTCATGATAAGTGAATTTTGTATTCTTAATGAGAATAAAGTTCTTAAACCATATTCTGTGAGAGCGTAGTTCTTCCCCGGTAGAGCCGACCCATTCCTGCTACAACCATAAAATAGCTGCAGCGTGCTCTACCACGTATAAAAATCGTGTTCTGTCCCATGCCCCGAAAACCATTGTATACTACTTTGTATCACACTGGGCCTTCCATTTCCTACGCACAATTGTGAGTGCCACAGTCGTATCTTGCTGGGCCCATCATAACTCAAGCGCATTTGTGATGCTCACAATTGTATCAAGGTCTACCTGTCTGTCCTAGTTTTTATTAAATGAGAGAAAATTAATACAGTATACATAAGTAATTATTAACTAAAAATTACAAAGAGTTCAACATTTCTTAGGAATTTGTCTTAAGCATTAATCAGCACACGAAATGAGATCAATTGTCTCGCCTTGAAAAGCACGTAAAATCGTTTATTCTGCGAATGATTTAAGTCTGATTACCGTCCCATCGGACTATGAGAGTGAGGGAACAAAGAGTGCACCTGCGCTTACGCACATAATCATGCACTATAATCCTGTCCTGCGTAAATGGCTAGTCCACGTTGAAACTGGCCGCTGTGACCAACAATTCGATATGGACGACGTTATATAGGCGATTTCTATATTTGTAGACCATTTAATATGTAGTTCTTGATAATTCGTTTGAGTGCAGACAAGGAGTCGGCAGTGCTGGTGACGGCGATGTGCCGCGTGGGCAACACCATGTGGCTGGGTGACTCAGTTGGAAGAGTCTCCGTATATTCGTAAGTTTCTCGTTTGTTTATTTACTAAACCTCTGGTGGAATATGTCATCCCTATTAGAACAAAATAGATTTCTTTTTCAATACAGATCATAAAATTATTATTGAAAGTTATTTTTTTACTTATATCACTTGTTCGAAAAAAGATTTGTCCCGGGAAGGAACCAGAAAATAACCCATTGGAATTTTATTTCAAAGTTACATTTTGCATGGAAGTATGTATATAGGGTTAATCAATAATAATAAAATTTATTTTAAAAACAGCTTTCAAGCGATCACCTCATCCCAGGGAATATTATCAATTCTGTGTGTTTTTATCTGATAGAGCCGTGCTTCATCTTTATCCTTGTTGTAGCGCGAATGGCTCGGCTTGACGAGAGAAGTACCACGCTCTCACAGAATAACAGCGTGAAATAGTAGAATTATGCTGCTACCTATGGTGATTGTAGAGAACAGGAGACTTTTCTCTCTGAAAAGGATACATTCCATCTTCATTCTCAGGGGTAACAAATCATTGGCATTTCTTAGTCGATCATAGATCAAGATATCTGTGGCTCACAACATCCACTTACTATCAGGACTGTACTTGCTTGTCACACTTATTCTATAAAAAAATCGTAAATAATTACTGATACTGCAGGAATACTGCAGTAATAATAGGCGTGACAGCTCTAGCACAGAGCGCAATCAGAAAAAATAGAACAAATGGAGTCACCCTTAAGGTATCCATTTAAGGAGAATCTCACGCAATTTCACCTCGGCCTGGATTAACAAATGAATGTTGGCCGACAAAAGTAAATTGAGGCAGGAGAAGCATTATGCAGTTTCCCAACCTGCTGCTGCGAAGGCGCAGCCTTTCCACATGCCTACCCTCACTTTGGAAATTAAAGCCCCCCCTCGGTCTCCGGCTATAGGAAGCACGTTACAGTTTGGCGCTGAGGGGTAAGAGATAAAATCAATATCTCTAGCCTCGACATCTCTCCGCTAAGGTACTGGCAGGCGGCTACGTGAGCCCGTATATTACAAGTGCCAAGTGTAATGAGCTGCGAAAAGCTGACTCTCTAAGTTAAGAGAGTCTCTACGAGAGGATGTGGCAGACTCCAGGACAACGAAATGCACAGACATGCGAATCTCTCTTCCTGGATGAATTCATCAGCACCAAAGGTGATCGAGGTCATTTCAAGGCAAAGTGGCTGTATAGTTGATGCTGTCAAGGCAGGAGAGATTGTCGGAAAGCTATGGATACTGGCACTATCTGGGTTTGTTTTCCTATAATCACGGCGAAAAAATAAAAGGAGACGGCCGCTTCATGGTTAGACGCGTGGTAGCGAATGTTCATCTGTGGCATCCTAGACTTTTAAACTGTCTGCAGTTGAAAGTTCAGCTACGCCAAATGCACGCTATGTTCAGCAGCGAATAGGCCAGCTTGGGTTTGCTTGAGATATTTACATACAATACAATAAATGAACAAAAGAAAAGCATGAACAAAGTACAAACTATGTACAAAGTTAAAAAAGGGACGCCTGGCAGATGTGAAACCTCGAAATTATATTTTGTTTAAGTTATATGCATAAAAGAACAGATTACGACAGGAATTAGATAGTTATAATGAGAAGATAAAGTTTTGCTAATTTTTTACCATAAAATAATGACTATTTATTATATAATTATTCATTTCCAATTTATAATAAACCGTAGAAAATGATATTCAATTCATAATAAACCGTACAAAATGATATTTTTAAACTCATATGGTAATATAAATTAGCCGATAGCGTATTTGTGCCATCTAGCGTAATCTTTAGGTACTATCGTGAGAATCAACCAATTTTCGTTCGATAAAATGACTACCTATAGAATTAAGTAGATGACGCTATTAAAATTTTATATACTGAAAATAACTAAAGGTAGTATTCTCTAAAAACCTCAATACATTCTTCTGTATTCTTTTGATTTATTACATTAAAATTTGGGTTTCACGTTAAAAAAAGATTGTAACACTTATTTCATATAAAATTAAACCTAGGTGTCTCATATTTTATGCTGCCGTTCAAAATGATATTTTTAATTCATATAGTACGCGCCAAAACATCCGCTCGGGAGAGAGGGAAAAATAGGACCACGCCGCCAATCATGAAAAAAATCATAATATAAATATTGAGTTATTAAACCTTTAAATACACCTAACTTAATTAAACTTTAATACTAAAGAGTCCTGTACCTATATTTAAAGTATGAAGAAATGTTTATTGAATATTACATTTTTAAAGATTTTACCTTTTCTTCGCCGATTAACATTTCAACACACTTATATTCATCACAATGAACACTAATATCCTCCCATTTTCACTGAAAATCTTTGAAAAAGCATAAATTTTTAACAAACACTACAAAAACAAACATAAACATTGAAATGTGAAGTGAACTGTCATACGAATGGCCCGCACCCCATTCGCTAGTCGCTAACGCACTCCTAAACAACTTCAGGCAAAGCCAGGCTTGTGGCTCAATAGTATTTGCTATATGAACATTTCGTAGTTATATTTCGTTAGAGCACATTTTGCCACAGGTTTGAAGAGCGATCGTCTTCTCGAAAGCCCGGTAAAAAGCCCACGTGTGCGAGGGAGACAACGAATCGCTCAATTCAACTCTCCTTATATGTATGACAGCAGTATTCCTAAGGCTACGAGGACGAACAGAGCGCGCGGGAAATTTGAAATAGTTTAAAACAGTTTACGAGTTATTTTATTACTTGATATTATTGATTGATTCGGCTTGATAAGGCAAGCCGGGCTTCTGGGCTTCTATAGAGGTTTCACCACTGGTTTCTCGTGCGTTCCCATATGAAAAAGTTGTGAAGAACTCTAGCTCCTCTTCTTTGTTCCCTTAGCCCTAGCAAAAAGTGAAGCGATGGACACCGTGGGGTTTTAGATGTGATATCCTAACATAACCTATTTATCACTTTCGCGATACATAAGTATATATATAAAGATTTCCCCACGTACGAAAATAAGATAGATAGATAACCATCCTTTTACCTGTCTTTGTTGTAAAACAACAGTCCGTGCATTGCTGTGTTTCGGTTTCGGGTTTAGCGAGCTGGTATAATTGGCATTATTTGATTAAGAAGCTGTGAGGTTTTCCATTTCATTTCTCAGAGGTGACGTTGCATCTGTAGCCTTTTTTGTTTGAAGTTGACTGCAGGTGTCCTTGGGCGGCAGTTGCAATTTACCATCAGGAGGACTGTTAGTTAATAAAAATATTATCAAGGGATTTTGAATTGGTGTGCAGTGTGTCGACGTGCGAGATGCTGTGGCGCGCGCGCGTTGCGGAGGCGGTAGGCGGCGGCGTGTGCGGCGTGCGCGCACTGCTGCCGCTGCCCGCGCACCGCCGCGTGGCGCTCGCCGCGCACGCCGGCAGGTGAGCGCGTACACACATGCACACGCGCACTTGCACACGTACGCAAACACGTGCACACGCACGTACACAAGCAAGTTCATACACACGCACGTATACCCATACGCTAAATCAGGTACACGTGAACACAGCATGCACAATTCATTATTTTTACACACCATTTACGCACACGCAACCAATAATATTCTTTATAGATACGTCATAATATCCAAAAAACCACCGTAAAAAATGTTCCGTACTTGACCGTCCTAGCGGCAGCATTTATACGTGACAGAACCACGCTGCAGCTAATATAATTGTAGCATGAATGGGTCGGCTCGTTCGAGGAAGGAACACGCTCTCGGAATACCAGCGTAAAATAGCAGCTTAATGCTGCTGTGTTTCGTATGGTGAGTGTAGAGAACCGGAGACCCGTTTTACTAGAATCGAGGCATTCCATCTTAGTTCACAGGGGTGATAACGCATCTGCATTTTGATTCATAATCGACGTTAAATGTAAATGTCTATGGGCCACAGCATCCACTTACCATCAGATGGACTGTGTGCTCGTTTGTCACCCTTATCCTATACAAAATATACATTTTAATGTTTTACTTAGATTTCACTACATTTTATCGCGTTCTTATCACACCACGTCTATTGTTGTTCTTTTTTTTAAACTTACGTAATCATGGCGTGATATTTGTTAACCAAGGGTCAGGGTGGCTAATTAACTACTTTTCGACGCTTCAGTTTTGACGTGCTAGTAACGTACTTACCTTTTTATATATAAATATCATTGCACACAACACGCACGTTTATTAAGAAAATATGAACTAAGCAAACGCACGCGTACTTTAAACACACGTTGTTAATGTTTCTAGTTATTATTTGCGTAAATAAAATCCGTAACCCCACTCTTCTTAATTTAAAAAAGTAAACACGTTCACTCTAAAGGATCACATGTATATGCAACTTGAATATTTTATAATAAATTGCACCTGTACCGCACACAAAGAACAATTTGTCAGTGATATTAAATTTCATATGTTTTTCCTTCCCTTGTTCAGATTGTTCCTGGTGATTTAAAAAAAAACACGTTCACACTAAAAGCATATGCAACTTGAATAATTCATAATTGCACCTGTACACACACAGGAAACAATTATACATCAGTCATATAAATTTTCATATGTTTTCCCTCCCGTATCTAGATTGTTCCTGGTGACATCACACAAACCGGAAGCTGAGGGTAGCTTTGTGCTAACGGAACTGGGTACGGCAACAGAACTCTGCTGTCTTGCAGCTGTGCCTACGTCTGATGGGTGAGATTTAGTCAATTAAAATACTTTTAAAGATTTGTTAAAATATTTCTAAAGAAAGTGTACAAGAATATAACGCAATGACGTCATAGTTTTATAGCGAAATAATCATCTTATTTGTACATTTTAAATTCTACAAATCTAATTTTTTTAAACATAAAGTGAAAACAAATCATGTTTTGAGGTTAAAAGCATATTACAAATTACAACGCTTAGTTATTCAGTAATAATGATGACAACTAAACAATTTGGCTTAAATGGGTTCAATTTCTTCTGTCTACTTTTTTCCGCTTTCGTCTCTTTATTTTCTACTTCTGTTTGTTTTTTTTTTTACTTTTATTTCCTCGTTAATTTACTCTTACCTTCTCTTTTATCAGCCTTTCATTTAATATTGTCTCCTTCTCAGTAGACCAGAACCAGTACCAGTTCATCTGATTGAAAGTGGATAAATACTCTGGTCTGATATCTTCATTTATCCTCGATTAAGAACCGAAATACAGACGTTGTCACCCTTGAATGCTAAAATAGAATGTTTCATTATCGGTAAAAAAATCTTTGGTTCCCTATAATTTCGATATGAAACACAGCCGCTTTATGCTGCATTTCAGCAGCCGACCCATTCGTGCTGCAATCATAATATAACTGCAATATGGCTCTACCACACTCATAGTATATCAAGCAGAGCGCATATGCCGTGTGGTTTAGTAAAAAACCCATTTACCTATTTCTATACGTGTGTGCCGAAAAGCGACTATGTGATATGCCAGTAAGATTTCATGGCTTCCGAAATATTGTGTACCTTCTTTTATACATCAAACGTAACATACGTGGTAGAGCCACGCTCCAGCTATATTAGTGAAGTTGTAGCACGAATGGGTCGGCTCGACCGGGGCAGGACCACGCTCTCACAGAATACCAGCGTAAAATAGCGGCTTAGTACTACTATATTTCGAATGGTGAGTGTAGAGAATCGGAAAACTTTTTTTACTGGAAAGGAGGCATTCTATCGTAGTCCTCAGGGGTGAAAATGCATCTGTGTTTTGATTCTTAATTTGAATTGCCATCGCCTTGGACGGTCTTCTGATAAATCACCTATGCCCATAGCGGTTAAGTTTCGCGAAACCTCAGTTCGTGATAAGGTATGGTACTTAAAAACTAAACTAAAAGGCACTGATATCACTCAGTCAGAATTTAATTTTATTTATTACTAGGAGTCGTCACAAAGTATTTTAGAGGCTAGACGAAAGTTTGGCATCACTAATTGCTGGACGCGAGATTCGCCGTAAGCAACAGTTCTTTGCTAGACAAGGGTTAAGAATCTGCGGTGTAGATGTCTATGGGCCACAGCATCCACTTACCATCAGGTGGACTGTGTTCTCATTTGCCACCCTTATACTATATAAAAAATAACGTCAAATATGACGGTCACAGTGGAGGTTTGTAAGCTTGTGTGTGGTATCGCAGTGTGGAGGTGTGGGCTGGTGGGGACGGGCTGAGTGCGTACCTGGTGGGGGGGCGAGGGTGTGAGTGCTGCGGACACGCTGCCCGCTCCTGGCAAGGTGGCGCTGCTGGCTTCCGCGGGCTCCGCAGTGCTGGCCGCCTGCAGACCAGGTTAGTGCTGCCACCAGGAAACTGATGCAGAAACTTTTGTAATAAGACTGGTGTAAAAATTCTTTCTTCAAAACAAAAATAACCGGAATTGCCGGTCTTATTGTATACAAATAAAACCGAATGCTACAATTAAAACCTCAGATTCTTTAAAAGTTTATTGGAGACAAATTTTAAACTAAAGCGAGTGAAATCTGAGATAAAAAGTGACATTTTAGACACCTGTGAGGGAGAGAAGATCGACTGCTAAGATTGAAAAAAAGTAGATCGAAAACTGCAATTAAAACCTTTGTGAAATAGACTTTATGATGAATTTAACAGATTCATTTTTAAGAGACTTGTTGGGAAGGAGAAGGAGGTGGATACAAGATCTGTATTATATCCAGGCGTGTTCGTGTACCAGTACAGCGTAACCACGAAACAGTTATCAGCCAAGCTGGACTGCAGCAAGCTGGTACCGTGCTCTGAAAGCCTGCAGTCCATCGCCATCGATGAGAGGCTCGCCGAGGACCGGTGCATGGTGAGTACAAACTAACGTACAAGCTTTTGTTTCTACCAGCAAAAGTCAACGGTTGAATATGGAACTCTATCGTTTTAGGAAGAATTTGTCTTTATCGTCACGTTTGGCAACTAATTTGTTGCTGACGCCATAAAAGATGTATGATGACTAAAGACACATACACACACACACGCGTGCGCACACACACGCAAACGCACACGCACACGAACGCGCACGAACGCACGTGCACGCGCGCACGCTCGCTCGCACGCCACACGCACATACACACACGCACGCACGCGCGCAAAACCCTAGCAGGAACACACACACATATTGATTCTGGGGAAAGCACAGAAGACCAGACAATACTTTAATTACTTAAAAACAAAAACCCGCACCCGAAATAAGGTGATGATCATAGAATACTATAATACCTACGTAATAGAACGGGGGCAGTTGGCGGAGCACGTGTAGCCACTAAAATGTCACCACAGCCGAGACAAAACACACTAAAAAAAAAAGCCCCTTAACAAGTCAATTCACACGTATAAATGTCAACACGAGATGTGTTTTGACGTTACAATCATTTTCAAATTTCCCATGCAAATTATTTAGAAAATGCCGAATTGCACGCTATTTACAAACAAATATGAATTAAAATCAGTCTGTCAACATAGCGAATCGGGTTTGTAGTAGTGATAATACGACGTTATTGCTTGTATGTGTGCTCCCGGCGACGCCTATTGTCGTACAAAATAAGGTTGACAGCCATTCTATTGTGTGTTATAGTATTCTACGGTGACGATTCACTTACGACCCTACTACACTGCAAACGCACACAACACTTGCAAATCCTATTAAAACATATGATACAAAGAAAATAAATTACAGTATACTCCACTCTGGCTTCATTTCTGAGAGGGTTTTAGGGCAAGAAAGTGTCCGCCGCGCTACCCCAACGCATGTTGGGGCTATTTTTTTTCTTATTCCTCAGACATGTAGGTTTCCTCACGACGTTTTCCTTCACCGCCGAGCACGTGGTAAATCAGCAATTAAAATTGCAATTAGCAATTTCATTGGTGCCGGCGGGGATCGAACCCGGGTTACTCGTGTTCTGTTATATTAACAGCGAGCGTTAACCATCTGAGCTACCACGGCTATATTGATAATGGCATGCAAATAATTTAACAATGTTATAATTAAATTACGTATCAATCCATACTATTAATATAATAATTATTACGAAATATGTCAACGAATAAACATTTTATAACTACATTAATTTTTGTTGTTTTTGGTACAGATAAACGAATCTATGATGTTATTCTGACTTAGTCATTTGTACAATCTGTGTTTAAACATTGATATTGAGCATTTTAATCTTCTTTTTTATAAAGGGGGAGGGGCAAACGAGCATGCGGCCATTAACTACCCCGAACGAATGCAGATGCTTGCCGTTGTCCTTATATATATATATCTGATTCATTCATGATTTCAGAATTAATGATTCCTGACATTCTGTTAGGATATCCCAATCTAAAATTGTTTAAGTAAATAATTCTGTATTTTTGTGTACAAACACTTTAACTACACAAATGTAAAGTGAAGATAATGGCAATAATTCTAGACTTTTATATAGTGGTTTACAGAACAATTCAGGTAAAACTCCACATATAGCTCTAATGCAATTTTCGGGCTATAAAAGCTCGGTTTTTGTCCGTACTGTTGCCTTGTAGTAGGATATACCGCAATATCGATTCTATGTAAACGAGATAAGACATAATTGGTCTTTATGATGGTTACCTTCCTAACACGCTTAAGATCATATACGAACCGGTTAATTCTGTTACACAAATGGTCTATATGTATTTTGCGCTTCCTCCTTTTTTCAAGTCAATTGCAAGTCCTCGTCAATAGATATACCGAAGAATTTCAATTATTGTTCTTTATTTATCATTGTCACATTTAGATAAAAATTGTATTGTTTATATTTTTTTATAGTATAAGGGTGACAAACGAGCACACAGTCCTATAGACATCTACGTCTATCCCCGATTACGAATCAAAATGCAGATGCGCTGTCACCCGTGAGGACTAAGATGGAATGCCTCGTTACTAGTAAAAAGTGTCTCCGGTTCTCTACACTCACCAAACGAAACACAGCAGTGTTAAACTGCTATTTGACGCTGGTTTTCTGTGAGAGTGTGGTCCTTTCCCGGTCGAGCCGACCCAATCGTGCTACATCTATACCAGTAACATTGTCAACATTGATTTATAATTACAAAAAAAGTATTTATGGCATTAAAATAGAATCGATCTATCAGTCAACCTAATTATAAGTGAAAATTGTAGCCCAAAGATATTTATAGCCATTTTCAAACATAGAGAATCGCAGTTTGTAGCTTCGACAAAAACCAAATATTTGTTTACGATACAATCTATACCTATCACTGCCACGTTTCCTATAATTGTGTGTTTGTTCATAACTCAATTATTTTAAAAACAAGGAACATTCTTTAATTACTAGAATTGTTATAACGCCGTTATTAGATAAAAGCAAAAGAACCTATGGGCCACGGCATTCACTTACCATAAAATAGACTGTGGGTTGTTTATCACACATTCTTTAAAAAATATGGGAATGCCAATAGATAACGGCGATGTGCACACTTCGCGAGGAAGTGTATGTGGGCACAGCGTGGGGCTGCATTATTGTCGCTGACGCTGCTTCGCTCCGGCCCCTCACTGTCTTCCGGCCCTATGAGGAGGAGGTGGGTCACTATTTCTCTACTGTCTAACTGTTTTATTCTCTGCACAAAATGTCAAACAGAAATGGGTCACACTTTTTCAAACGAATTTTTCACATAAGACTTCGAGCGGGAGTTATATACTTGGAATATATGGACATAGCACACTAGGAGTTTGTAAGGCATTTTTATTTCAGACTTAGTTAAAAGTAATATAAGTTATAAGCTTATAAGTAATACATTGCTTACACTTTTACATGCTTAATAATAAAAATAATAATAATAATGTCCTCCAGACCGAAATTCGTTCACGCCGGCCAGCCTCAACGGAGACCAGCCATCGGCGCAGGACAGGATTATAGTGCCCAAGTGTATGCGCAAGCACAGGTGCACTCTCTATTCCCTCACTCTCTTAATCCGATGGGACGGTAAACCGACACGACCGGAGAGAGATCAAGCGCAGGACCAATGGCTTTACGTGATTTCCGAAGCATTATCATATCATATCATTATCATAAGCAGGGTTATACACCGCCAACTTCCTGACTCCGGGCAGCTATTGAGAATTTTTTAACGGAAAAACTCAATAATTATTTTTTTCGCCCGGCCCAGGATTCGAACCCAGGACCTCATGATCAGTAGTCGCGCCACTACAACCACTAGAACAACGAGGCAGTCTTGACCAACATGTTCAGAGCTGCATTCCGCTCAACAGGATGTACATTCTTTTACACATTATAGAACTATTATTGCATCATGTTTTCATTTATTCATTTAGAGTATCTTTGCCATAGTTGCCACACTTGGCTCACGAGTTGGCAACTTCAGTATTTTACTATCAATGTAAGTTGTAATTAAGATGCTGGTGCCCATCTCTCGTTCCATTTCCTTACCGCCTTAAGGGAGAGATTCTGCTGTGACACTAGATTCTCTTGCACCGCCATTACAGAGCTATACATAATATAAACACTCACGCCAGTCACTCAGAAGGGTAGGCAGAGACTACGGACTTCCTTTTGGCACGATCCTGACACCTCTCGCCTCCCTTAAAATCCACCTTTCTACCCCCCACCGCCTCGTTCATACCGGTTTCTACACTCAAAAATACACATATAAGCTACTTCAGCTTGTGGCGGCCATCCTACTACTATGCATATTTCAAAATATCGCCAATTCGTTCGATAAAGTTTCGTCTATGGCGTCCCTTCTCGACTCTGACGTTCACATCTGCCATATAATGTGTTTTATCATTCTTTCCTCATTTATTCTTTCTACATGACCAAACCACCGAAGCATTCCTTTCTTAATCCTGGTCACAACATCATCTTGCATACCACACAATTTCTCGCTCTGTCATTCAGATTCAGCCCTAGCATACTCCTTAAGGATCGCATTTCTACAGTATTTATTCTACTTTCCTGCTTCTTCTGCCACACCCAACTTTTAAAGTACTAAACTACTGTACATTAAAGTGTAAACGTATACACAGAATTATGAATTACCATACGTGCCTTTTTTGACACATGCAGCTATATCGTTTAATATAGTGGATGATAAACATGACGTTTCAATAATGTTCGTTAATTGGAACTTCAAATGAAAATTTAATACGTCGCAAAATAATGACATTTATTTTTATTTTATTACCACGTGCAGGTACGCGCCATGATACCACTGCCGGCACTAGAACCAAACGGGAACTGCATGCTGGCAACCCTCGGCGGTGGCTACCGTCCTCTGTTACAGAGATATACTCCCGGGCAGGTATGTACGTTTATACTGCTGCATATACGATATGTACAATATATACAATATGTGACGTAATTAACGCACACCCTCAGACACCCCAATTAGTATATTATGTTATAATTATAATACATACACTGAATTTTTAGGTAAACATTTTTATGCACTGATTATTTATCAAATTAGTTATACTAATTTCGGAAGAATGTTGTATATAAATATATAAATGTTGTATATATATATATATATATATATATATATATATATATATATATATAAAAAAAATACAACATGTAACATAATTAACGCACTTTGAGAAAGTAGTTTGTTCAGAATCGTTTACTGAATGGATTCCTATCATTTTTAATATAGGTAATTTTTTATCCCAAAATTAATTAAAACTACGTAAATTACAGTCACATTAAATCTGTACAGTCAAAACAAACTGAAATGGACCTTAACTTAAGGCAATAAGACTTTTAAGAGTGCAGTTTTATTTGTATTATTACTAATTCTGTCATTCAATAAAAATAAAGAAAAATAAACTTTAATTCAAGCACTTTAAAGTCTTTGTGTTCTTGGATTTGTACTGCGACCACAACATTCCTCCGGAATTAGTATAACTAATTTGATAAATAATCAGTGCATAAAAATGTTTAACCAAAAATTCAGTGTATGTATTATGATTATAAAATAATATACTAATTGCGGTGTCTGAGGGTGTGCGTTAATTACGTTATATATTGTATATATATATATTCAATTTTAACACACATGAATATACACATCGAAGTTTTCGCGTAAATATAAGAAATTATAATAAATATATTACAGCCGTTATACGTCTATTACTGAGCATCATCTGAGGAATTAACTAGCATCACCAAGTTTTATTTTTTTAGATGCCGAAAATATCAATTTCTTACTTAGATTTCATTACAGCTTCATCAAAAATCCGCTACTAAGCATACGCCGACATCATAGATTGCCTCACAGCATAGTGGAGACATTTGTCATAGTTATCGCGTTTGGAATTTAAAGGCGGGTCTATTATTAAGTTACTATGAGGGAAATGATACCGCCTATGTTAAAAGATTTTATTCTAAATTTATACGAGTACTCGTATCTTACTACATCCGATGGATTATATGATGAAATATTTTCTTACGTCAAATTTTGATAGTTATTTTGTTTTAATTTCTAGTCTCAAAACATTTGTGCAAAAACATCAATTGTTGGTCAAACTGGAATCTGTTTTAATGGAAAATAATAATCTTCATGATCTGTTTATTTTAAACCTAAAGGTTGTACTTTAGAAACGAAAAAACCAATATCCGACTATTGGCTGTGGTCAATAGCTGGACATTGGTCTTTCTTATAGTAAGAGAAAAACCATTGTTAGACTAAATATATTGTTACAGCTTAGTTTTAGAACAAGAAGCCCCGAAAGAAGAGATAAGAGCTTAAGGTTCGTGAGAATAAAAAAGTGCTGATTGAATTACCAAAATTGACACTTTAATTACTGAACACCAATTAAAACTGAAATCATTACACTTTACACTTTATTTCGCTTCGAAAGCTTCGCTCGTATCGCCAATTCAATACTGCCCCGATTGCGGCTTTCAACGGCTTTATATAGGTTTTTTCCACCGAAACACCCAGAATATTCCAGCAAATACCGGCCCCGACCGACCAGGTGCAGAAAGTTCGAGAGTGGGACTTTCTATAAAGCTTAGTTCTTCCTTTCGATACTAGATATCGCTAGTGGGAGAGTTCTAGAAAGATCTTGAAGCTCCCATTTCTGCTGCTTGATAACAGATGGCGCTAATAATCAGCCGCCACATACCAAGCGCTAATTATAGCGCGCAACAATATTACATCCGGCATATCCAGACTGGTTTTACCGATATATAGCAGCCAAATATTTGTATTTACTCAATCTTTTTGGTGTTTGTTATAATGGACGTTTACGTCGATTTTGAGACTAACTTATTATTAGTGTGAATAAATAAATAACAACATATTTTTAATTTCAGTCGAACAACAACAACGCGACCCACACCGGAGTGTATTGCCTTCTGTGGAGAGCGGAGAACTGGTTACCGGACTAGATTTATTTTATTAAAAAAATGAACAATTCAGGTCTTCATTTGAGGGTATATAGATATTTCCCTTTATGAAGAAGGGAATAGTAGTTTTGTCATAATTTGACGACTTTAGAAGAAGGTAAAGAATAATAAGAGAAATTTTCTCGATGTTGTAAATATATGTGTGTTCTTATTTTACGAATATTTGACACTATTGAGTTGAAAGGATTATTACTGTGAAATGATTATGGTGCATTCTTAAGCCCAAAGGGCAAAATAATATAAATGCTTCCATATTAATCCGTTTATAGTATTGTAGCTCCCATTTCAAGTGCTTTTTTTCTAAAGAATGCAGTTTTAGAACTAAGAGTTAGCTAAATTTTTAGATAGATAATATTGTCCACTAATATTCTTAAATGCTTAATTCAAAACTGCACTGCGATTGTTTAAATCTAGTGGAAATCGTGCTTGGCTAAAATTAACGATCAAAACCCAATGTACTGTCATATAAATATCTCATTTTTGATTAAAATATAAATATAATAAAAACATAACGCAGTTGCAGAGTTATGCAAAGTAAATTACGTAAATCATACTTATTTAAAGTCACTCTCACGTTTAATTTACTTCTGGGTCGGAAAATACATCTGTTCTAGGAATTCGTAGCCTCTTACGACACCACCGGGGTAACATGGGGCGTGTATTGTTTTGTAATGTCAGTTTAAAAAAACCTAAATAAGTTATGTACTCCTCTCACAATCGACACGGAATCAATTGCATAAAGTCCTTCATGATGTGAAAAAAAAATGATATTCAAATTGATATTTTAACGTAATTAGGTTATGTAAAACGTTCCAATATTTAATAAATTTAACTCTTTATATCTAAGTTGATACGGTATAGCTACTTACTAAAACTTTTGCGTATAAATATAACAAAAACACTGTGTCCAAAACAACATAATCATAAAGGCCATCCATTATAAATTAAGATTAATTGAAACATGAAATATAAACGCGTTATCACAACAATGGACTAGGATTGGTAGGATTCCTTGCCAATAATTAGATTGTCACTTTTTATTAATAATACAGCAATAAATGCGTACAAAAGAATGTCAAATTTAAACAATAAAGTTTAAGTTTAATATTTTTAAGAACTTGGTCCCTCGAGCCAGAAACTATACAAGTGTCTGGTATTTGTGCCAAATTGAAAAGTTTGAAATAATCAGTTATAGCTATATATCGAGATTAATAGATAAAAACATAACTGTGGACATAATTGACTAAGAAGTGTTTTCGTATCTCGGCATAATGTTTATTCAAAAATCATCTTATACAGGGTTATTTTGCAATAAGTGGCCAAATTCGCAGAGAAGGTTGATAATAAGTAATATAGGAAAATAAAGAAAAATTAATTAACAAATTTCAGTAATTTTATCTTTTAAATTTAAAATGCGTGGTAATGCATTATTGTAACTGAAATCTATTGATTATGAATACTGCGCACGCACACATTCGTAACGGTCGATCGGTAGGTAAAAACGTTGTTGCTCATAAATCGCATTCAATTTGGGATCATTTTATATAATAGTATAAGAGTAAATAAACTCGTATTTTCAAAAACTGCAATAACGATATATCATTGTTTATATATTAAAACTTATATTTAAAATTTGGTTACACTTTGAAAAATAACCCCGTGTAATGTTTTAAAGGTGACTGCTGATAAAAGCAGTATTATGCGAAATGTGAAAGATACTGAAGTGAGATTTATTTCCTTTCCAATATTCTTCTTTTTATTAGCCTTGAATTGATCGCATTCCAATACGCCCTTTAACGCTAATCTGTATAGGCGATGGTATTAATATTTAGTTTATAAGAAATGGTTATACAGCCATTAGTTGGAAGCTGTGAGATCTTCTTTGTCGTACGATTAGGGGTGATAGAATCTCTTAAGTCGCCACCTCTTATGATATATTCATATCAGCAATCAATTTTTATATTTCCTTATTTAAACATAATTTATATTTTAAGCACAAGGGATTCAGTTTTGAATTTTTTTAATTTTACAGTGAAATTTTGGTTGTGTTGTGATCTGTTGTGTTTTCGAAATGAGATAATATTTATTTTTAGATTTAACTAATGTTATTATTCAAATATATAAGCAGAATTACCCATGAATATTCTCATGAATATCTTCAATAGTTTTTGTCGGGTAGTTTTGTTTGTGATTATTAATGAGACTTGAATTTGTGTAATTTATTTTTGTTTGGTGAATGTGAACTTTATTGTTTATGTACGAAAAAATCATTCCAAAATTATTGTTGTATACCATGTGAATAATACTGGACCTAGAATAAGTCCTTGTGGAACTACATATATTTAAAAACTGTAATTTTTTATGCAGTAAAAATTGTGTAAATAATTGCGTATTGTGCTCAATGCCGGTCACCCACGTGTGCACATATTTGCAAAAAAGATTCGCGTGTATTGAATTATAATAAAAACCCGACACAAACTGGATATTGCAATTTTTTAATATACTTTAATGTCTATTCGATTGCACTAAACTTGTATTAGTATTTATTATATTTGCACATTTGGATGACAGTCATTATTTTTAAAACGTCCTAACGAATGAATTAAAAATATACACGTAAAAAGTCCCCAAGTCTTTAGTCCATTTTATGACTAAAATGCTTTCGCAGACGTGTTTCTAAAACAGTTTTAGCGCTCTATTTACATTAGTTAATGTTATGAAAGGAATAACTAATAATAAATAAATAACTGTTAAACTGGGACAGAAGACATATTTCATGATAGTGCTGAGTCTATAACAACTTGTAGAACTTTATAAAAGAATTTGTAAAACCTGTCCGATCCGTGAGGGTCTTTTGAGGTATCGTGATATGACTCTGTCCATAAAATCTTTTTCAGAGAACAAATAAAATTTACCCAAAAAATAAAAGAAAAAAAATCATTAAATGGTGCATTTGGCAATACATCCGGTAACAACACCGACACAGGTACAAAGATACTCGTGTCGAAAACGGTGTTACCAGATTTTAAATATTTGCCGAATTTTAAGTGAATTGTAGTAAAGAAAATATATATTTTAAATCACATTTGACATCATCATTATAGCTAATAAAAAGTCCATTGCTGAACGTAGGAACCAAAGAAACGCCACAAAACACCGTCCTGAGCCACCTGCATCCATCAACTACTTGCATGTCGCACCTGGTCGTCACACCATCTAGTGGGGGCCGCCCTATATCAATAAGATTCTTAATTTTTTTTGGTTATATTTTTTTTATAGAAGAGGGGGCAAACGAGCATGCGGCTCACCTGATGTTAAGTGACTACCGCCGCCCATGATCAACCGCAACACCAGGGGAATTGCAGGTGCGTTGCCGGCCCTTTAGAAAGGAGTACGCTCTTTTCTTGAAGGTCCCCAGGTCGTATCGGTCCGGAAAAATCGCCGGTGGTAAACTATTCCACAGAGAGGTTGTACGCGGAAGAAAACTCCTCTTGAAACGTACAGTGGTGGACCGCCAAGTATCCAGATGATGTGGATGGTATCGCGACGTTTGCCGCGTAGTGTGTTCACGAAATTTGGGGGCTGGGATTAATCCGAACAATTCCTCAGAGCACTCTCCATGGTATATGCGAAAGAAAATGCAAAGAGATGCAACATCTCTTCGCAGTGCCAGTGAATCGAGCCGATCGGAAAGCACTCGGTCGTCGACGATTCGAGCCACTCTGCGCTGGATGCGGTCAAGTGGAAGGAGCTGGTACTGGGGAGCCCCAGCCCAGAGATGGGAACAGTATTCCATGTGCGGCCGAACCTGCGCCTTGTAAAGTTGCAGGCGGTGTGCCGGCATGAAATACTGTCCCGCTCTGCTGAGCACGCCAAGCTTTTTAGAGGCCAATTTGGCCTTCTCTTCCAAGTGACCACGAAACTGCACGTCACTCGATATGTCGACGCCGAGGATTCCGATACTGGCTGAGGCAACCAGGGGAGTGCCTTGAAACTGAGGAGATACGACAAAGGGGTTCTTTTTAGCGGTTAACGCGCAAACTTGTGTCTTCTGGGGGTTAAACTGGACTAGATTTAGTCGCCCCCAATCCGAGACTCTGTTCAGCAAAGACTCGACTTCAGACACAAGTTTGTCCCGGCATTCGGAGACGTTTTCCCGAGAAATATTGGCTCGGCCGGTGTAAAGAGCATCACCAGTGCTGTCATCTGCATAGCAATGAATGTTACAGGTTTGCAACATATCATTGATATGCAGAAGAAACAGCGTTGGCGATAGCATGCAGCCTTGTGGAACACCAGCATTAATAGGCTTGCAATCGGAGCTTGCACCGTCTACAACGACCTTGATGCCCCGATCTGCAAGAAAGCTGGTGATCCAATCGCACAATTTCTCGGGAAGCCCATAGGAAGGGAGCTTCGAAAGAAGCGCTTTGTGCCAAACCCGATCGAAGGCCTTCGCAATTTCCAAACTAACGGCCAATGCCTCCCCCTTGGACTCTACTGCCTCCGCCCATCTGTGAGTTAGGTAGACCAGAAGATCACCAGCTGACCGACCACGGCGAAAACCGTATTGGCGGTCACTAATCAGCTGGTGATCCTCAAGGTACCTCATGAGTTGGCAGTTTACAATGGACTCCATTGTTTTGGAGAACAAGGAGGTGATGGCGATAGGCCGGTAGTTGGACGGGTCTGAGCGGTCGCCTTTTTTAGGGATCGGGTGGACGAAGCCGTCTTCCATGATTTTGGGGCTTCGCCTAGGGAGTAGGAGTACCGGAAAAGACGCGTTAAAACCGGTGCCAACTCTGGAGCACACGTCCTCAGCACAATTGGGGGGATTCCGTCAGGCCCAGTCGACTTGTGGATGTCCAGGGAGAGGAGTGCTTTGCGAACCGAGCGCTGTGTGAACTGCACTTCCGACATGGAGCACTCACACCGCGGGATGGTCGGCGGCGTACTCCCCCCGTCATCGAGAGTCGAGTTGG